TCCTTCTCATCGAACTTTCCCTTAATTTGAAAACATCCGCGTAACGTTATTCACGGTGCCTGAATAGGTAATTGTTGAATCATCGTGAACCCACGATTTCTCGTGTGATGAAAAATCATGTTCCTGTTTAAAAGAAAATTCTAATTTTTTAATACAAATAAAATATTTATATAATTTTTTATTAACTAATAAAGTTTCAAAATAATATTATAATAGCAAAATATAAGTAAAAATAAATTTATACGATAATTTTATTAAGAAATTTATCATTTTAACTACCCTAAATATTTAATTTTCATAAATTTATAAATTCAATTACAGAAAATATACTATATATATATATATATATATATATATATATATACATAAGTTCACAAAGAATCTTATTCTTCTACGTAAAATTCTTTGCCAACTTATTTATGTCATCAGTCAGATTTGTATTTACACGATTTCTTGTTAAAGATATATTAAGAATAAAGTCGATTGTAACGGTGATGAAATATTTCTTCAATGAATACAAAAAGATGCAGCTGTGCAAGCAACAAACAATATATCTCGCCATTAACCTTGGTAATTCCATTTCTCTTTGTTAGTAAATACTTTGCTCATTTAAACACATTAATATATCAGTTACAACATTATTTACTTTGCTTTATAATGTCGAAGTTTATCTAGATAATTAGTTTATTATAAGCAAATCAGATTTTTTTTATTTCTCTGTGGAGAAATATATTAAAACAAAACTTTTAATAATCGTCTATCCCACTTTTTATCTACGTTCTTATCTAGGAAGTTATATTGATTATTATTGTTTGGCTTAAGAGCAAAGAGCTTCATCTTGAAACGTTGCAACACGATGCGATAATGAGTGGTGTGATTTCCGGTCATAGATGTACGTTAACATTCGTTTAGCCTATTATCGATTTAAAGTAAAAATAAAATTGTATGTTGTCTCAAATTATAAGGGATCATTTTTTTCGAAAAATGATGAAATGAAAAATTGTGATTTTCCTCGAATATTATGAGCAACAAGTAGCTGCAAAAGTGGTCAAGGTTTGCCTTCGAGAACATGAGTGTTTTGCATCTTTACGTGCACGCGAAGAGGGCAAGTGACCTAAAAATTAAGGTAAACAGATATAAATTTGGGACTTCTTTTTTTGTTATGCGACATCGAACAAACTCGATTCACCGATGGTTCGTTTATGACTACGTTTTGTGACCAATAGCCAATCGTTTCTCGTGTCAGCACAGCAGCGCCTATAACCTACTTAAGCACCTCGCTCTCTCTTAACGTGACGTCACTGAGTGCCATCGCCATCAGTAACTTAAATGAGACCCTCAAAATCATTTTTCGGTATATATCCAGAATCTCTCTCTCTACAGCGTACGTAGCAGCAAATACCTCATAAGAAACTCTGTATTAAATTGAGACAAATTAACTAGATGCGCGCAATATAGATTTACTTATTAACGAATATTTATTTATTGAATTTATTAAATTATTTTAATTAAATTTAATTTTTGTTAAATAATTTAATATTTCGTTACATAGTATATGCATATAATTTAATGGCATATAACGCAATGCGTACAAAATTCCTGAAATCTCAAAAAAATAAATCTTTTGATATGTATAATTTAATTCATTCATATCTGAATGTATCGCCTTTATTTACTATCTACTTTGTTTACTCCAATTAGCGTGATTCAGCTCCATTTTTATCGCGCGCGCGCGTATTAATATTTTAATATAAATAATGAATTTATACACGCATATGTGATTTGGTGCATTATACTGTTGTTCACAACGTCACGTTGCAGATAACGTCATCAAAAGTCTTTAAATAATTAATTTTATCAGTTATTGACGCAGATATTCGTAGGCAAACGAAACGGGTGTTCTTTTTTATAGTAATCACATTTTTTTATAATGACTGTAGAAGAAAATTATCTCACAAATATGTAACTGTTCTTGCGTAAATATTTTAATAACGTACACGACACAGACAATCAAATTACTTGATGTCGCAATTGAATACATAAAATCTGATACGTTTAGAACGCTATCATGCTGTCCATTATGATGGATTACAAAACAATTGAAAAAAATGTACGAATGCTGCGTTAATTTACTGCGCATTTAAGCATTAAATACCTAAATAATAAAGCAATGCATGTGGACGTGCGATGAGACCGTGTCATATCACTGCAGGTGTACATTGCTTGATGTTCCGTTATCAAAGTGAAATTACCACCTGGTTGTTGCTTAAACGTGCTCAAGTCAATATGTCTAGTCAGTTTATATCTTAACTCGAAGACTATACTTAAACATACTGTTTGAATTAATCAACGTAAAGTTGATGATTTCGCGATTTATTATATAATGTCATTTTAAGAATTTAAATGTGTGTGTGTAATTTTTTAATAAGTTTGTTGTTATATCAAAATTGGATATACATACGTATTCGTTTTTCTGATTAATCAAATCAAAAAACGAAAATTAAATTTTATTATTAAAGATATTCTGCAGTGGAATAAATGTGCAAGAAAATATACAAGAATAGGTTTCTATCGGAGAAAGAAAATTATAAAAGCGCTTATTCTGCAGGCATCGTGTACATAATTTAATCAGATAGAAGTGCTTCCTGATTCTTGAATTTCTCTGTTTCGAATTCCAGACCACGTAGCACATACGCGCACGATCTACTACATATAAATATATTTAAATTATTTATTTTATTACATTTTTCAAGGTTGAAACTCTTCAATATAATATTATTTTGTGACGAAATAAATATAAAACAATGTTTTATCGTGAACGTTAAAAATTTTTAATTTAAATGTACACTAAAAAAATTATTTTACTTAACAAAATCTACGGTCAAATACGTGCAAATAAATATCAATGTAAAAAGAATTAAATATTAATTGCAATGCCAATGTAATAAGAACTAAATATTTTGTTTCTAACAATTACATTGACATTGCAATTAAACAGAATATTTAGTTCTTTTTACATTGATATTTATTTGCACGATATTTATTTGCATTTTTGATTTGGTATCTTGGTAGAATTTTTTATGGATTATCATAAAGTGGAAAATTATTCAATAAAATTATTCGCAAAGATAAATTTTTTAAATTCTTTTTTATGTTTTTCTAAATCAGAAGTTGGAGCATGAAAAAAATGATTCCCACGTGCCTAACATGTGTCAATGTTATCCGCATATTTGCACGAGTCCGAGACAAAACCACGCGTATTACAGATACCCGAAGCTATTATGTGGTATAGATAGTATGTGCAAATGTAAGCTATATCGTTTGCTTTTATATAATATTAGTTATTATGTGATATTATGTAAAGTGTACATATATTGCATGTTATTGTTTGTGAGAGCTCTATATTTATTTCCGTAAATAAATCTTTTTGTTTATGCAAAATCTTTAATAATATATTATATATTATGATTCAGAATTTATCAAATAAATGTTACTACAATAATTTATTTTTATTCTTTTAAAATTTTATATACATTTCAAATTTTACTTCGATTATTAGCTGCTGCAAAATTTAAATCTATTTTAATTTTGTATGTGTGTGTGTGTATGTATACACAACCTGAGATTTCATTAAAAATAGTCATATAAAATTAATCTGTGCTCTAACCGTCTAAATAAAATCATCTAAAAAAAGCACAGTTAACAAATGAAAGAACAGTTCATACATTATTATATGCGATCATTATATGTGATATGATATCATAAAGAAAATAGAGCTGCAGTATTGTGTTTCATTACACATCTTATCAGTAAATTCTTCTATATATTATCATTCTTACTATTCTATTCTTATTATCATTCAATAACGCTGTATAATAGTCATGCCATTTTACGATAAATAAAGACTTCATTCATATCATTTTTACATATATATATATATATTTTACGAATAATGTAAATAAAGTTTATGATTAAAATTTTGATTAAAATTTTGATGTTATATATTTTGATGATATTAACACAAAGGCTATTGTAGTAGAGATGTTTACGGGAGTATCAGTGTATATATATATATACACTGATACTCCCGTAAACATCTCTACTACAATAGCCTTTGTGTTAACATCATCAAAATATATAACATCAAAATTTTAATCAAAATTTTAATCATAAACTTTATTTACATTATTCGTAAAAATTTTATTACTTTTTTTATCATTTGCAACATTATAAATAGCGTAGAATAAAAATAAATATTAAATTGATATTGTGGCGAATATTGTACAAATATACCGTTTATCAAAGTCACGGTTCCGATACGGACTTGGATGCAATTGGGTGCGTACGCATTCATTTGCTATCTTTTCGCTAATTAATCCTACAAAGAACACGCAAAAAGCAACGGAAAAAAAAGAAGACGGAGCATAAAAAGTGTTGTTCCAAACCTTTATTGTTAATATAAATTATTAAATTTTATTCTTGATATAATTAGGTTTTTGTTGTTATTTAATAAATTATGGATGTTATTATATTGAAAACAATATTTTTATTATAATCAATATTTTTAAGGAATTAAGTATTTTTAGTAATTTCAAACATATGAGAGGGCACTCGCCTTTTATCCAGCATGTAACGACTTGAAGCATGATTAATTCTTATTAACTCTACATTGGTCTTTTCTGTTCGTCTGCTGGAGTTTAATAGGTATAATCTTTATATATATATGTATATACTAATGTCTATCTTTCTCGCATTATATAGATTTATTATAGACGTATATAAAGTTAAAGTGTGTGTAAAAAAATAGAATAATTCTTAAGTAAAAAATAGATCGATAAATTTGTGATAATACAGAGTTCTAAAAGTCACACGATTTCTTTATATCGCACAAAGATAAGGTACTTACAAATTTTGAAGTATGGCAAATACGCGCCTGAACATGAAGAATGAATGACAAAATGAAGATCTCGGAAACGAGACGCATTCACCAAGACGCGTACCGGTTGACAGTTCATCCGTCGAATCAATCCCGCGACATCACGGAATCCTGTCTGGACCGTTCCGCGTTATCGTCACGTTTTCTGGTTCATAGACGTGATGAGACGAAAGTCACGCAACGCGTACACACGCATGCGAGCTCGGCCTCTCGTTCGTGTATCCCACGTTACGTACACCACCTATACCTCTCGCGCCGAACGTACGGCGTAAACTGAGCGCTCTTCTACTGCGCGCTCGCTTTTGCGCGGCGTGACTCCCGTCACCCACGCACGCATGCTCAGTAATTCGTGACGTATGCCGGCTAGCCAATCGACGAGTTGCGCGGTATGATTTTAAAGACAAAATCCCACGTGCATTTCCTTAAAAGATTCGCGGTTGTCAGTAATTTAAATAATTGACAAAATAAGTAGCGCGAATTAATACGGTTTCTTTTTTAAGCAGATTTAATTAACCTGGAAGAGTAGAAATCTTGGTAATTCACTATTTTGCATAATCTTTGAACACAAGTTTGATTGTCTTAAAGAGCAATAATTTTGTAGCAAGAAAAATTAAATAGTTTGAAAGAATCTGTGCATTACAAATATTATTGATAAAAGATAAATTTATTATTATATTTATAACATAGAATAAGTTTGCATTATTTCATCTTTATTGTGTGTGCTCCGAATTAAAATTTTAATTTGAGTAAATATTTGCAATTACAATAAAGTTGTGTTCTATTTACATTCGCTCTTTAAAAAAAGAATCATATATTAATAAAAATATTTCATACACTGTATTATTACTTTTTTAACTTTAAATATTATTATATTCAATTACATATTTATCAAATGTTGCAGTCACATATGTACATACATATTACAAAATTGTAATATAGAATAAATATTTATACACAAAAATGACTTTCTGCAATAATTGATGAGTTTATTTAACATAAAAATTTCTTTTATAATCGTACTTAATTCGTTATTGTGTATAATTTATGATCAGTAATGAAGACTTTTTAGTCACGCGAAAAATGACGGTTTCAAATTAATGTATTGGTTGTATTGTAATTATCGAGAAAATCATTGTGGATAATTGCATCTTGTGCCTAGGTAAAATTAATGCAACAATAGTGATTACCGTAATCCCGGATGTTGAGGTTGATAATGTAAGATTCGATAGACCGCAAGTGCGTTGGAGAACTTCTATAAGATAATATGTAATATCATGCATTTACATAATTTTATATGTAATTTATGAATAATCATTAATATTTTTATTTTTAAAAACTATTTAACAAAATACCAGTTTTATTATTTGTTTGTTTTAATTAAGAATGATTTAAAAGTCTAACAGTGAGATAATGTCTCCTGTATCTATGCAACCCAATCTTGTTTAGTGTATTAGCGAATCATTTGACAGGTATGTAATCGTACAGAGAGAAATTCCATTATTTTGTATTATGATGATAATAATCAATCTATTATTAAATATGACAAATGCCTGTAAAATATTTTAAAGTTTCCTAACAAATGTTTAAATATATAAAGAAAAATATTGTGCATTTTTCATTACAATACTAGACGGCAAAATAATACTGTTTATAGATAATTTAGGTATCTATTTTATCATTAAATTGAGAGATGATTGTATGTATAGTTCTTTTGATTACCAAAAGCGCTGTAGAATAATTTATATAGAAATAAATAATTCATAAAAACTTTGCAAAAACTGTATTGCAATATACTATATATTTATATACATATTTGATTTTATATATGTATATACATATATGTAAAATAAAAAATACATTGAAACTGTATGTGTGTACATATATAGTTGTTTTAAATGGTATAAAATAAGATAATCAATAAAAATAAATATACAGATTAATAAAAAGATACTAACTACGTGTAACTGCAATCTATTAAAATTCAATTGACAATTTGCATTTTTTTATTTATTTATTCTTAAGAGAAAAGAGAGGCATTTCCAAAAGAATTGGAAACAGAATTAAAAATGCATAGTGACATTTGAATAAACGTGACTATAGTCTTGTGAACGTGACTAAAATAATACCCAAACGCTAATATCACCATTTGTTTAGCAACCAAAAGAATCGACATTTTACTTTTTATAATACCTACATTGTTGTATTATTTTCTAGGATTAATAAAAAAATATTAGTAATATAAAAAATAAACAATTATTAATTTTATATACATATGAAAAATATTGACACACATCATGTATAAGCACGAACATGTATTTAATATTTAATATTAATATATTTAATATTTACAAATATATTAATATATTTAGTATTTACAAATATATTAATATTTAATATTTAAAAATTTATCTCTATATAAAAGTTCTACATGCTGATTATATGATAATTATGCAATTTATAACCATCATAATAATATAAAGTATCAGTATGTTTTAAAATATTATGATTATGATTCAATATACGATAGCGTGTAATTTAATAGGTCACACGTTAAATAACCGTGTTATCTAATAATATTATTTTAAATCCGACATGCTAGAAATACAAAACGAGAATAATATATTCAAAGAATTACATCGATACAGTTTGAATATTAGGTAGCTAAGATATTGCATATATACTGAATTGAATATATTTATATCTCGAAAATTTGTCAATCCTAAGCTCAACATTAGATCAAAATCTTCAAAATCGGAGCTATAAAAACGATTGTAACTACTTACTTTTAGTGGAGTTTGATTTCCTACTGTAAATATTTGTTTGGCGCAAAAGTTAATTATTTTTTTATACAAGTAATAAATACAAATGGGAACAAATGGCAACAACCGTATAAATTATACGAATGCATCTTTGTTAATCACGTTAAAGGGTGAGAAATTACGGGTTACGCGCTTATTAAATGCACGGCTCGATCATTTAACAGCTGTCACGTCTCGTGCATGGAGTCGTGAGGTCTGTAGATTTTATGTCTTATATAATTGCTGATTCAAATGCCTCATGCCATATCACGCGATCCTATGTTAAAATGTTTGTTGACTTTTGATGATGCTCCGAAGTTAACTCAGTAAAATTCTTTCAACAAATTCTTTTTCGTTTAGCCGTTAATTATTTCATTCGCTGTTCTTGTTTAGGACCGACTATATCATGTAAATAATAACGGGAATATCTTTTCGCACATGCTGCTTGTTCTCACTTATCCAAGTTAAATAATTAGAGATTTAATAATGCATATAATGATATGTTTATTCTTGATATTTTTACGAAATAATCAGATTCATTAAAAGCGTATTTGCATGGAAACTATATTATACTTTTTTTTAAAAGTACGTACATATATTAAACTCTAAAAAATATTAATTTAATTTTTTAATTACAAATAACAACAGAATAAAGTATTGTGTAACAAAGTCAACATATGCGAAATTTACTATTATTACACTGAAAAAGAAATTTATTGAATTCGAATAAATATTTATTTTTCAATACTGCCTTGGAAATCATATTGTTTTGAGACTAATAATATTGATTTAAAAAAATATTTATTTGATATAAAAAAATTCTTTTCAAAACAGATAAATATTTATTTTTTTCAAATAAATGATTTATAAAACAATATTGAAATATTTATTAATTTAATAATTTTTTTTCAGTACAGAAATAATGTGATTTCGATGATGCAAGATATATAAATGCACAATTGATAATGTCCTATCTTAAATCAATTATGTGCATCTACTACTTATTTAATTCAAAATTTCCTGGCATAGTTACACATGATGATGTACATGTTGTCAGGGTGTGCAGAATTATAAGTACACGAACAAATTATATGCTAAATTATGACGCGAGCAAAATCGTTATTATTATTCTATAAAACATTCCATGATGAGAACATGGCGCACCTTAAAAAACCTCTTATTGCATATCCGATGTTTTATTCGTTAAGAACAGTTGCTAGGTTGCTAGACTGCTAGCTCCGTGTGAGATACTCTTTCGTGATTAAAACAATTTGTTACGCGCATAATGATTAAATTATTAAACTTTTTTAAATAGCATTTATAAAATAAAAGCCTGTACAATAAAATACAAGAACAGATTCTTATTTTATAATTGTTGATGTATGTATAAAGATATACACAAAATGTAATATTAAAGTACGTTTTTTTTAGATTGGTATTAGATTGGATTATGCATAATTAAAAAAAATTAGAACAATTAATTATATATAAAAATATTATAATAAATAATTGAACTAATATGTTTAGAGTTTATATCACAATTTAGAATCATAGTTTAAAACTAAAAATCATAGTTTACACTCTCTATATATTAATATCAGTTAGTTTCGAGTCTATATAACTATGTAAAGACCATTTCGTCTGATGATATTTGCAAATTCTATTTTATTACGACCTTGAACAAACTAGTCACAAGGATAGCGAGATAAAATCAGCATGTGTTAATAAAAAATTCCGGAAGATTTGATGGCTATTCAGCTAGTTTCTTGACAAAATCTTTGCACAAAACGATAGATTAAAATATCTACTGTGTTGTAAAGTCAGTCATTCATAAATCTTTGAAGATATAGGATGGTTGCCATTGAACACTTTGAAGGAACGATTATATCATTTTTTATAGATGTTTCAAATCGCCTCACCAATTTCGTTATAATAATTTTATTTTATATCATAGCCACGTTAATTGCTAATTTTTATTCGCTTTTTTAATTGTGTGTATATTTTTTGTAATTAAATTCTTAGAAAAATAATAATTTTAATACTCAAAGCTTTTTTAGGAAAGATAATTAATTTACAGAAATAAACTCTATAAACTTTTAGCAGTAATTAATATAAATTTTAGTAATAGTGATATAAAATTAATATAATAAAAATTTTGGATGATTAAATTATATATCTTAACTAGAAAAGAAAAAAGAAAAATGTACAAAAAATATAGTAATTATATTAAATTTCCATTAAAGTGTATGTTATTTTGAAATAATTCACTGCCACATTCAGCACGGATATTGATTGCATTGTATTATTTGATCAAACGTGAGCTGTGAGCATATTATATGGTAGCTAAAATGGAGATTAATTCAAGGAATTCTGATATTATAGTCTGTCATCATATGCAATTAAGCTGTCATAGCGGCATTAATGGTAGATATGTATACTTATTCACAATGCGTTGTCTAATTCAAAGAGAGAATTGATTAGAATGTGCTTTTTTTCTCACAATGTCGAATATAAACAGATATGATTGACTTGAAATAAAACCTCGTGAAAACAATTTTAAAGTAATATTAATTCGTTATCAAAATGTTCAATGTAGAAAGTGTGTAATTTAATGTAATAAAATATAAGAATAAATAATCCTAAAACAATTAATTAAATTAATTCAAAACATATCGGTAATCATGATGTATGACGATGATTGATGTCAGATAAAAAATTGAAATGCACTCATTCACAAAGATCGGAATTGAATCCAGATTTCATTCAGAAAATTCTGACGTAAGACTAGCCGAGAATAGGTTTCATTCAGAAACAATTTGCTTGAGTAATGGCCACCGATAAAGACGTAACGAGCGCGTAATATTACCGAAGAAAGAACAAAGACTTCAACTATTTTATCTTTGTTTTTACTTGAGTAGTCCGTTCCTCTGGCGCTCGTTCGTGAACAAGTCGTTGCAATCGCTTTGATTGTTCCTGACTGTGCTGTGAGAAATTCGTCTCCTCTTTTCGTGTTAGAAAAAGAAAGACGGCTGGCCTTCTGTGCTTAAACACAAGGCATTCATTCTCAGGCAAGGTCGATGTTGCAATGCCGGCACCTTGGATCTTTCTCCCGTACGAATTATCGACTAGTGAGGTATTTCCAAATAAACGGAGAATTCTGCTTTTAAAATTAGAAAAAATACTTCTTAAAAATTTATTTCGTACAGATATATTCTATATCTATCGTTCATCGAGAATAATTTTAAATAAAGTATACATAAAAATTCGAATTTTTATTCATTAATCAAGATTAAAAATATTTGCTTGACTTATTTATTTGTTGTGCCTCGATATATGCTATTTTTGTCGCAGTCATTGACGCAATGTTGCTCAAAGAACCGAAAATATGTAAATAAGATGGACATGGAGAGAAGTCGCGATCACGTGCAACCGACATGCCGACAAAGAAAGAAACAGAAAGAAATAATATGATGAAATATTAAAATTTTCCAGCTTATAGCTTCTGTTAATATCTTCTTTAATTAATCATTCTTTAATTGTGATCAATTTGCTTATTTGTGTTACAACATAGAGAATATACATATAATTTTCAATATCTCATTTTTAGAGTTTTTCTTAATTTCAAATTAATTCTTTTTTCTAATAACTTTGTTTTGAAAGAATGTAATATAATTGTTTTTTGTTAATTTATATTAAATTTACATAATTATCAAATTATCTAGTTCTAGCTAAACGATTCAAACGCTGTTTTTTAAACAAATATAATTTATTTTAAGAATTTAAGATGTATCTGTTTCTTAAAACAATAATATAATTTATTGTTCAAAAACCGAAGACATGTAAATAAAGACATGGAGAGAAGTCGCGATCACGTATTTTTTTAAAACAATAATATAATTTATTATTTATTTAAAATTTAAAAGCTTAAATATAAGGAATGTTTATAAAGAATGACACGTATATTTAGAGTATGAGCAGTCAATCTGCAAGTAATTTATAAATCGTGAAGTAGCAGAAAAATTATTATTTTTTAAAATATAATGTAGTTGATCGAAAGTATAAGTATATGCAACCATGCAACATGCATTTATTTCGCAAGTTTTTCTTAAGGAATGGTTTATCCCAGAATCTTTTAGAATTATGCAAATTTTATCGGGAATACCTGAAATAATAGTCACTATTTTTAACAGAGACAATTTTATCTTCGAAATCTGAATCTAAATTACAAATATCCGATTGTATCAATTGTGCATTTTAGTGGAATTGTAAGTATTGTTTGCAGCGTTCGAGATAAATTAGATTAGATTTAGAAATTGAAAGAAATATCTAAATGTGGATATTTTAAAATAGATATTTTAAAACAATATCTTATCATTAACGAAACCTCTTAAATAGCGATAAGCGCACAAGAACTATTAGAATCAATATGAATTTTTCCTGCATATTGTGCGATACATGGCATGAACTATATGAACCCTTGAGGACACACACGAGGAAGTATGCCAATGAATTTTTGAGCTATTATGCAATCGATCGATTTAGGCATCGTAAAAGGTCAAGTCGACAGATAAGTTTTGGCAGATTTTATTCGGAGTCGGGCGTCTCTATGTCTCTCGCTCCCTTCTTTTTTTCCTTGTTTCTCCTTTCAGATTAAATGAAATCCAGACTTTTTCTCGTTTTCGAATACTACTATAAGGTCATTATAAGGTATCAGGGAAAGTGGGGTCTCCAGTTTCGTATAAAAGCACATTCAGCTCTCATAACAAGCACATTCGAAATTTCGTCACGCAGGATCAGCCGATTCGAGACGCACGACAAAATGAAATTCCTTGTGAGTTTTTCATATTTATTTTTACATTATCTTTTCTTCAGTTCTACTATTTATAAATAAATAAATCGCAAAGTTAACGCCTAGTCGATAATTTAAAGCTAATTAAAGTTTAACTTCTTTTTGTATCTTTCCAGAAAAAATTAAGTTTTTAAAATATTTATAAAAAAAATCTGTGAATAACTAACTTAAGTGTAATTAATATTAGAAATATAACTTATAGACGTTTGAACACTTAGTTAAGAACTTGAATTTTTTGTCAATGTTAACTACTTATTCGGAATGTCATGTAATTTCTTGGTTTTTCCCATTTGAGTTCTTCTCCGACTATTGTAAATAACAGCTTATAATCTTGTTATAATTTAATTAACGTCTAGGTTATCAATTGAGGAAAGAATAACTAATTAACTACAATTAACTAATTAAATGCAACTAATCAACGGTGAGAGGAAACGATGGATTCTTAATTATTCGCTTATAGATTGTAACCATTAACTCGGTTATCTTAGGATTATTTAACACCTCAATGATATCTGATCTTTTGTACGGATTCCTGTAATTTTTTGCAGCGTGCAACATTGCGCGGAAAATAACATTTTTTTTGCTTTCTGTACTTTCCGACCAATTGTATTGAATTATATAATCGACATGAACAACATATATATTCATAAACAACAATAAATGTATTATTTAATTGATATAGATTTTTTATGTTTTTTAAAATTAATAATTTAATTAGATTATAAAACAATGGTTTGATTATAAATAACTGTGTCCGCAATATAATTTTCAGAATTCGTATTTGTCTATTAATTATTATTATAATTATTTTGTCACTCTGTATCTAGTCGCAGCAAAATGGTTTAAATAATCGGTAAAAATGCTTTATTTCTATTATCAATCAAACTTGATGCAAATGTAAGCAAGACAATTCTATATAATTCTGTAAATATATATATATATATATATATATTAAATTACTTAATTTTTTCTCACTATATTCACTATTTTTCTGTTGCAGATCGTATCCCTCGCTCTAATCGCCGTCGCTGCGGCTGTGCCACTGACTCCCCACGAACAGCCAATAGCTATTCTGAGGCAAGCGCAGGACATTTCGCCTGAAGGATCCTACAACTACGCCTACGAAACCGAGCACGGAATCTCCGTTTCCGAGCAAGGCTCGCTGCAACCCGTTGGACCCAAGGGAGAACGCGCGATCGTCGCCCAAGGTCAATATCAGTACACCGCCCCCGACGGCACCCCGATCGCTGTTTCGTACTCCGCCGACGAAAACGGATATCAACCACAAGGTGCTCACTTGCCAATTCCCCCACCCGTACCCGAGCAAATTCAGAGGGCTGTTGCATTCAATCTGGCTCACCCACAGGCCGAGGAACTTAAACGCCATTAAATAATGTATATGACATTTAGCAATACTTATGGACAAGGCGCACCTCTCGAGTCATAAAATACAAATATGTAGGTTTTCTTTATATAAATAAAGTATATTATATCTTTAAAAAATTCTTAAAGCATCTATTTGATGACCTAACAAATACTAATGCTTCTTCTTTTTAAGAATAGAAAAACCGGAACAATTAAAGATTAATTATATATAATTCTTACAGAGACTGTGCCATAAGAAACTCTTATCTCAAAAAAATATTTCTAAATCTTTCTGTCTTCTATATTTAAATATGTATAATAATATATAAACATTTAGAACAACATCAGACAAAGAGAAATTGAACATATATTTATTTGAGTCTAATTTTATTTTTATATCTTAATTGATGCCATATTGTTTATAGACAGGGTATTTTTAATTCTTAAAATCTTAATTTTTAGATCGCACTTTGCGAATCCAAAATCGGCGCATAAGATATCTTTAAGATGTCTTTTGGATATACATATATCATATCATAAGATTTCTTATAAAGCTGTTTTAAAGATTTCTTAATGATATCTTATGCGCCAATTTTGGACTTGGTATTGTCTGGGTATCGTTTACTTTATACGTTTTCGTAAATAGGTACACGTTAAATATTTCCGGTTGAAAGACCCTGGCATTTATTCTTACGTAATGAATAATTTAAGTATGTTACATAGTCACGCTAGTAGTTTAGCAATTTCGGCGATATATACATAATTAGAGTTTCTATTTGTGGACAGAGAGCAGATAGAAAAATAATTACGGATGCTGAGGGAGCTTGATGAAAGATATGGCCTTCCACGTATATTTATATTTTAAAAAAGATATCTTTCTGTGATTATTTAACAAAGTTAACATTTTTCAAAGAATTATTGCTATATTTTGCATATCGCGACGCGATTTCCTTGAAATCGAGGATGCAAAAGATGACGGTAACGAACAGATGGCTCCATGAGATAAAGGAAAAAACGTAGGCGTGAACAATAAATATTAATATTATACAAAGAACGAGACAACATAAGATTCATTATCGTCCAAAATTAGTATCAAGGTTAAAGTATCATTCTACGCTCTATGAATTATTATATGTATCCATTGTTACGCGATTATGTCCGATGATTAAAAACAACATCAAGAAAATTACATCTTGTTACGTTTGAAAAGAATTCTTTATATTAGAAATCTAATCAAAGAAGGAATTAAAACTTGATATAACAAGCAGAATAATGTGTGCGATAAAGAATATTATTAAGATAAATTTTGCTTTTTTCATATTTTTTTATCAAATATCAATATTAAAATTTCAAATACTTTGTTTTGTAATAAATGATTTCTAAAATAAGTACAATTTGAAGGAGCGCATAATTAATTCTAATTTCTCGTATATGCACACAGTCACATATACTGTTTACTATTTTCGCGTGAGAAGCGCAATCAACGTTGATTAACACCGATCAGACGATTAAGATTAATGTAATTTTCAGGAGCGATTTAATAACATTCTCGGTAGATCTTCGACCTTATCGCGGCATAATTTCAATCAACGTGGAGGATATTTCCTAGGAAATCTCTCGACTATATTACGATATGCACTGTTCACCAATAAAGTAGCAACGATTTTTCGCGCCTACCGATGTGCATCGGTGCAACATTGCGTAGGTAGGAACACGGTAAGATGGCGAGGATCGATAATAATCCCCTGTTTCCCGTGTGACGTCTTACGATAAACACGCAAAGGTGGGAAATCATCCGTTGAGATTCTTATCCTGTTGGTTATCTCGATCCTATTACCGGTAATATGCACGAATGCAAATCAATATTCAATAGTCAGTCATTTTGTGCAATGGAACAATTTTGCAAGGATAATCGCTGATATAAAATTATTTTTAATAGATAGATCGAAAAATAAAAAATATATTGATTTTTTGATAACATCTTAATGTGTAAAGTCAGTAATTTCGAAAAATTATTAATTTTTTATATTGATTATTATCGTTTATGTTTTTCTTCTCCTACTTGACTTTAGCTGTTCAAAAGCAGCTTATAAAGATATGCAATTTCACTTGAAAGGATTAATAAACACGTTTAACCGCACCGATATATTTCGCAAAAGGTCGCATTACTATCGCAATCAACAGATGTTCTCTTCGTGTTAATTAACGAACGCTGAGCGATTTTTTTTCGGGAACGGGCAATCGAGTCAGTCATCGCTTTCTGAAATTCCTAGCGGGAGCAAAAGCGATTGAAGTGGCAAATCTGTAATTTTTGGAAAGAAAGGAAAATCAGTAGTTGGAAAAAAGGGAAGAGAGAGATGAATTTCCTGCTTGTTCTTACGCGCGCGGATATCGAGACGAGAGTACACTCTCGAGATAGTCTCCGATCATTGGATTCTCAGTGGGCGGTTTTGATAGATACTATGCGAATAGGTAAAGACATATGTCGGTGGGCGGCAGATGCACTGCATCGTACAATGTGGAGAAAGAGGGAATTCACGATGGCCGATGCAGCTGGAGAAGAGCAACAAGTGATTATGTTGAACGAGTTGAATAAGCCTCCTCCTCCCTGTGTACAATCGGGGAGGAAGAAGGACGGCAAATAACTGTTATCTACGGAGACTTATAGCTCCTATCAGGATCGAGGAACGTGATCGTTCGCATCACATTCTTATTAACACTCGACTCGATTCTATCGGTTATAATGGCGTCGCATCGATTCTTAATATCGCGAGTGCATTTAAGTAAATTGATATTGATGCGAGCGAGAAATAGAATGTCTGTCATTATGATAAAAACAGATATTCTTGTGAATAATAATATCTCCTTGTGAGATTTTCGTATAAAAAAAGAGAACACTTTGATCAAATTAATCAGTTCAGTACAGTAATTTTTTAATTATCTTTTGCATAATTTATAAGTATGTAAATGCTTTACATATTTATGCTGTCTCTCTATAAAAAGTATAACATAAAATATTATATTTTAAACTATAATAATTCCGTATATACTTATGTTTTTAAGACTACTTATATATAAAATAATTACATCGCGGATTTCTCCTAAACGAATTAATTACAGCTTTAAATCTGTCAGTCTGCACTGCATTGCAAAATTACAAAGCACATTTACATAAGCGTTATCGAGTAAAACAACCGTGCCTTTTGTAAAAAAATCTCGAAGGTTCATCCCATTAATGTACAACTCGTTTCATAATGGCCAGTTGGATAGAGTCGAAGTATTCTAGAAGAAAGATCACGAGAGATCTAGGCGAAACCCCTCAGACGGAAGGAGAAGGGTTACTATCTCTATAGCGGTAATTGGAGATCGTATCGAGGGCGGATTATATAGATGCGCCTTTCTTTAGCGGCAGGCGTGAATTTACGCCATTACCAAATCGCGCGCAATTACGTAATTATACTTTATTATAATGCATCGTATTGTAAATACTGAACGTCACGATAGCGACGCGTGCTGACGGTTTTATGTTTGAGCCGAAAGAGAGATCGATTTTGCGTAATATAAGCCCCGGCTGAATATCATTAGCTACCATGTACTTTTAAATTTCGTGTAATCATTTTCTTCAGGAAGAAAAGTTATTAAATATGAAATTAATTTAAAATACTTAATAGAAACTTTGTTGTAACAATTTATCGAAAATAATTAATATCTTTCTAACTAGTTTTTAAAATAGGTCGATGTTTCTTTGTGATAATTAATTTGTTTTAAATTTCTGTGACATTTATAATTTTAGAAATAAATCAAAATATCTTTGCTGAGAAAAATTTTAATAAGCATTGTTCTGATTATTATTTTTTTTTTTGCGCGTTTTGCAGTCATATTAGAATTGTCGGATGCGAATTCACAGATTCCGCTTGGAATAGCTTGAGATGATGATTGGAACAGTATACATAACGACTAGAATTATCGTAGTACACAAGGAAGTTCTTGCAATTGCCTTGGAAAAAATGGCTCATAGTAGTGTTTTAAAATTAGTACGTCGGGTGAACAAATGCAGGTAGGCCGAGTGCGAATTATACCACACTCTTCTTGAGTAACGCCGCATAGCATAACTAGCAGATTATGTCTTACTCTTCTCCAGTCTTGCCAGATTACACGTATGTACATGTTCTCATATGACTTATCGCCAAATTCCATTGCAAAATTCGTTGTGAAACTTTATGCGAGACTAAACAAAGATCGATTGTTTATACATCCTAAATTTATTTAAAATTATGATCAGGATTTCTATGAATTATTTTGCATTCTATTATAAAAAAAAAATAGCTACCATAACTAAATTTTAGTTGTCCCTATATTCAAACCTGAAATTTATTAATTTATTGTTTAACGGAGAATTCTATAGCTAAAAAATATTAATTATCATAGCTAAAATTTAAGCATGATAACTAAATTTCCTATGTAATGTAGGGGCAGTTAAAATTGAGTAGTAACTAATTTTTTTCCGTGTAAGAGATTGATATTTGGAGTATTTACACAAATTTAATTTTAGCGTGTGAGCAAACAAACTTGATTAAGCATATTTAGGTTAAAGATTAAGTGGATTGGAAGAGAATTAATAGTGGCGCAACGCGAATTTACAATCTTCTATGCCCGCTATCAAATACAGCGCAGGAAGATATTTTGTTTAAGGCACGCATCTCTTTCATAAATCGAATAACACGTATAGATTGGAGGGATCGGGAGGGCGGTTTATTGCCTCCTCTTGGGTAACCCCGAAGCGGCATAACTGACAGGTTATTCTTCTTCGACGTTTTAGTCCTCTCGTTCGCGCCCCGACGCTCGTTCATTCGCGACCGCGCGATAAAGTTTCTCGCGGGAAGAACAGATTTTAATGTCAAGGCGCCGCCTTTTGTTGGAGGCTCTCTCTTTCTCTGGTAACACCTTTCTGCACTCTTGGGCTAGAGTTAAGTGAGGAAGAGGTACGAATAGTCAAGCGTGTGTCGTCTCGAAATGCCCCGATTAGACCCCGCCCGATGTTCTATTCAACGAATCAAATGTCAGATACGTAGTTAGATTTCGTGAAAATTCAATAAGCGTAATATTAGAGTCATTATATCGATATAGCTCGAGAATACGAAGTAATTTAAATGAAAATTAAATTACAAAAATGGCTTAAATAAATCAATTTTTGTAACTTTAAAATCAGAATTCAACGTAGTGATCACGTTGTTCGAAGCAAATTGCAAAGTTTTACATTAATCAACAAAGAAAAGAGAATTCGCCAAGCGGATTTGGAAATTAATGGTGCATACCTCGTTCAATAGAGGTACAAATTGTTTTATTGATGTGAGGCCAATACTGTAATTCACGGAGTTTATTGCGAGCGTAATCTTCTTCGTATTATATCAAACAATGCGATGCGATTCTTTATTGTAGAATGCTAAGCACACAAGAGACAAAAGAAAGGGTGGGTTCGCGTCAATGTACGATAGGATTTATCTCAGATATGCTTGAGCTTGTAAATAAAAAGCCCGTCATTGTTTAGTCGGAATTGCCCTAGAATGCAGTACATGACAGCATTGTACTGCGAAAGTTAATAAAGTATGATTGATGATAAGAGACATTGTCTACATGCGACTATATGTTTGGAATATGTTACACACATAAAAAATGTTGATATGTACGTATCAGTACTAAAAATTAATTAACGTAATATATCTTATAAATTCTTAAATTTTAAGAATCTAAAAGCCACTCAAATCAATTTAAATATCGAAAAATTGGATCATGATATATTTTTCCAAAAACGTATTTTGATTTTATTGATTTTAATATTCATTTGAGTCACACTTCCATATCAATCCCTTATACAAATACGTATATTTGTTTAAAGAAAGAAATTACATTATTAGTATCGTAATTTGATTTGTGCAAGATTTGCACAATGCATGGATTATAATATTTTCTCGAATTTCGTGGAAAACGCGTTGGTAAAAGGCGTCCATAATTCTATGATTTCGCCTACGTTCCACGAGCATTCATATCTCGATGTCCCGCGTGCGATTAGTAGAGATATTCCTGATAAAAGGTTCAAACAATCCTTCGGGATTGCCTTGTACATACTGTTGTCTCTATTACACCCACGCGCGTGCATTACAAGTGAGATTAGTGGCGAAACTGTAAATATCATCATTACCCGACGCGTTTCGGAAATATGCATGTACGTATGTCTGTGTACGGGGATTCCTTCTGTCGATTCGATGATTTAAATACCACCTGTCAAACGTGCAGCATCGATGGATCCTAGTTACCCTCCCGCGCTCGTCACAAATTCTCTCGCATCCTTTGTTCACTTTGATCACCGAGCGTATCCTTACGTCCTCATTTTATCCTTCTTTTTATTCGAGAAGGTTATTTGTATTATTCTTGAAGCGGGAGAAAGATTACGTATATCGATATTAACTTATCGATACGTGATTTGTGCGAGAAATGTGTTGCGACGATTTATTATGTGGATCCTAATATGCATCCCATTTTATTTAAGATATAAATAAATTATCTATTAATCGAATTTTGTTCTCTGATGTCTTCTAAGAAGAATATAAATGCGTATACTAAAATGTAGAAATAATTAATAATCATGTAACTTGTATTGTTAAATCTCTTTTCTCTTTCAAACATTATAAATAACATATTGTAAAAAAAATATTTATTCGATAATACATAAACGATAAAAATTTGTTCTTAAAACAATTATTATATATACCATATCGTTTTTTAATTAATCAAATGCAAAAAGGAATATACATAAATCTCTTTGCATAACAGTATGTGATATCTTTGATTATCGACGGCACATTGCAGAAATCACACATGAAATATTTATAAGCAATCATTTTCTTATAATAATTTATTAGTTATGCGTCCATATTCAATTTCAAGATACCCACGCGTAATTTATCCGTGAGATCTTCAGAGAATGCAGAATAAATATATTATATAAATATATTAATGCATTTGTTATCCAATTTTAAAAGCTTTTGTCTTTACAAACTAAAGTTAGAAATGATCTAATTTTAATAAGATATTGATTGTATAAACTAAACTTTATTTTGACAATTTTTGAAAGAAAAAATTATTACATTGGTCAAAAATTTAATAAATTAAATTTGATTAAATTTTATAATTAAGAAAAAAGATTATGTATATGTATATATATATTTAAATTATAATTTGTATTTTATTTGAGGCAAATTATTATAAATAACATTTAATCTGCAATACGCGAAAAGAAGCTAATTTATTTATATGACTTTTTGCTTTTAACATCATAATCTCATACAATGCAATGAGAGAACCGGAAGCTCTAAAGCAATTTGGAGAAGTTGCAGATTGTTTCGCGAGAAAATCCTGATCGATCTCGAAGGGTCGAAGGATTCTGTCCGAGTTATGTCGCAAGAATCGGCGATGCGCGCCGCGGCAAATCGCCGTTGCATCGGTTCGATGCGGTGAAAGGAATACGCCCTGCGATGATCCGTGGCGAATCCGGCATCGATGAGCCAAACCCCGTGATGAGGCCAAGATGTTACGAGACAAGCGAGATAATGACAGTTCTCCCGACAACAAGCACGTATCATTCTTACAATTAGGCTCGATTCGAATTTGTAACACGCAGATGTGCGAGTATATGCATACACGTGGATGCATTAAAGATAACAAGTAAACAAAGATATTTTCGCGAGCAAAAATTAGCTCAACTTTTATAAGATGCGATATACAAGTTGTACAAAGTACATCGCTTGATTAATTATATGTAGAAAAAATTTCTTCAGTTAGTTTTACTCCAATAAATTGTAATATGAAAAATATGTTATATTCGCGATTTTTTCTATTTAAATTGTATATACACCCTCTTTTTTTACACGTCTTTTTCGTTCTACAATTAGACCGTAGCAAAAGCACGTGGAAGATAAAATTGTCTCTTTATTATTTTTATTATTTTCTTATTTTCTCTTTATTATTTTATCTGTTTATTATTATTTATGCGTATACGAGGAAGTGTGACGTGAAAATTGTAGACATTATATAATATTTCTCGCGCGATAAGTATATGCACGGTGCGTACATCACATGAGAATGATACAAATAGTTTCTGCAACAGCGGAAAAAAAACCGCTAATACGCGTATGCAAATTGAATTCATAACATAATAGCATGCCTTTAAACATCCCGACCTCTAAACGATGCGAACGATATATATGTGCGTAAGGTGCATAAGAGCTGCGCGAGAAAAAGCGTAAAGACTAATTGTAAGCGTGAGACATAGTAGTTAACAGGCGACACATTACAAACGCGTGCTTAATATACGTGAGAAGGCCCATGCCAGGGCTGAGCAATATTGCAGAAACATCATATAGTCGACATAAAAAAAAAAAAAAAAAATAATGACATATTTTATTCTCTACTCTAAGAGAATTGTTGTTTTCAACAATTGAGAATTATATTTATAAAAATATTGTATTTTTTATTTAAAAAAATATTTATATTTTATATTATTTAAATCATATATTTCATAATTTTGTAATTCAAACATATGTTTTTATAGTATTTTATAATTTATACATTTACTTTGTAAACTATACTTATACATTGTAAGCGCCTGTAATGCGTGCGCTTGTATACAACCGACAAGTTTGTATGTGCAATATGCTTATGGAGGATCGCGATACGTGGGCACTGAAATAATGCGCACGCGGATGCACGGGAGACACATCAAACGCGAGAGTAAGCGAGGGGAATCATCGGTTACCACCTACCTATCGTCTAGTCAGAAAGCCCCGACCACCATCCACCACCCTATGCTTAGTTAGCGGATTACGCGAGTATAAAGTCCAAGATTTATTCTCCCCTTCAACCTCCGGAAAACGGCCGATGGCGGGGCAAAAAGAGGGCACAACCAGAGCGTCTCGGCGACTATAAAGCCTCACCGTGACCCACCTAAGCTCGCATCTTTAACTGCAGTTAACACGAGAGTCTCGTACGTGGCTTTTCGGTAGATCTGAGTGCACTCTTCGCACACGTAGTGTAACATTCCCCTGGCACGCAAGCGTGCGCAAGTTGTTCACCGGTTGATAACGAGTCGCCTGGTTTGGCTTTCGGCCGAATAAAACTCATCATGAAGACCCTCGTGAGTGTCATTTTTTTTCAATTTTCCTCGCGCGTTTTATCGATTCGCGATTAATTTTACAAAATGGGAGATTAATAGTTCTAACTGGTCTCTAATTATTTTCATTTAATATTGGCTATTTGTAACTAGGATTATAATCATAAGTGCGGTAAAATTTTGCAAACAACATATAAAAATATTTAAATTATACTCCGGAATGTTTTTTTTCGATCATCAAATTCTATTTAAAATGTCGACAAAGTTTGTTAAAAGAGACACTTTTATTTCGTTTTCTAGTATTCGAGTTAGAAAGAGACTTTATTAAGAGAAAGATTTGATCAGTTAATTTTATAAAGAAATTGGAATAAGTGTTTTTCTACTTGGTTATAAATTGTAATGTATAAAGTATAAAACCTAATAAATGAATAGATTTTATCATATTTTTGCTGGACGTTTATAATAGAAAGTGTAATATAACGGGATCGGCAATTTATCTTTATCTAATCTTTTATGCTGCCTCATTATAACATACAGATTCAGCGAAAAGTTTAATCAAGCATGATGAAATCGTGGCAATTGGATGTAGAGAAATTTTACGATCGCTCGATTTTACGATGGCGACACGATTGTCAGTTCGGTCGATTATACAATCGCACGTGTGAACTGATCAAAATTTCCATTTGATTCGCGACGCGGAATAATATTCTACCGAACGTATCGGTTGGGATGAAGACGAAGATTTTATCGGTGTTAATTTCGTCATTTCCGTTCGGCGCGCACAGATAACAACTGTAATATTCTCGGAAAAATAACGACGCTTGTGCGATTGTGTTCGTTACAATTGTGATGCGAAATCTCATATTTCGTTTCATATCGCGTAAATACTATCTCCGCTCGATATAATTGCATCGTATCGTGCGATTTGCAATGAAATGCACCGAGAGGCTGACACATTTTTATACACGCGCATAACGTTACGTAGATTGATTTCTGCGTGTATATGCTCCTTGTATTTATTATAATCATTTTCTTTCTCGTTAGTTCGCGCGCGAAAAATATTACGCGTTGTGTCGCAAATCACTTAACTCTCCTCGGTTTTCAACACACAATGGAGGAAGTCTCCGACGAGCGTGAGACGAGAATTATGACGCACGGGATACGTATAATTATTCATAACCGCACCGGCTTGAATGCAGTGAATCGAAATTCTTTTACGTTCCAAACTGCCTACCCATCTCAACCTACCTACTTATTTAGCCGGCCCTTTTCGCATGAGTAATATATAAGATTATATTATTCCGCGACTCACGCTGGATCTGTCAATATTCATTATACTTATTTATAATGTACAGTTCAATATTTTGTGAAATAACGCTTGCGTTTCGCAATTGCAATAATAATACCTAATTTACTTTAAAGTTACTAATTATAGCTGCTATACTTATAGAATGGAAACTTTTTTTAAGTCTTCTAAAATAATTATTATAAATGTTATATTTGAGTTTTTTCCTTTTCTCTGTTTCTCTAATTTTGCTCAACATACATGTCGATTTTCATATCAGTATGAATATTTTGTGAAATAACGCTTGCGTTTCGCAATTGCAATAATAATACCTAATTTACCTCTAAAGTTGCTAGAATCATAAAATTTCTCAAGTAGTGGAAGCTTTTTTAAAGCCTTCTAAAATAATTTAAAATATTCTAAATGTTATATTTGAGTTTTTTCTCTTTCTCTAATTTTGCTCGGGCGTACATGTCCATTTTCATACTAATAATTATTTCGCAGATATTGTTACTCGGTTTGACGATGATGGCAAGCGCACAACTCAGTAGATATACGACTCCGTATCCACAGCCGACGCAATATTATAATCCCAACTACTACGGTCGACCTTTCTACGCTATACTGCGACAAACGCAAGACTCCGCACCGGACGGATCATACTCTTACAGGTGAGATCGTCCTTCTGTCTTTCATCCTAAATAGAGATGATAAGCGGCGCCGAGGCATCCGTATACGTTTCGTCGCGAGAGAACGATCTTGACACGCTCGAGGAATCGCGGTTGCCCTACTGATTGTATGAAAACACGCTCGCGCCATTCGGTCGATGTAATCGCGAAGTTAACACGCTCGGACTGTGACTGTCAGTTTTTTTTTGCCACCTGTCTTGCGTCTTCATCGAGGAGTGATTAATAGGCAGGAAGGAAGTGCAGTTAATGCATCGGGAATGTACAGAATGGTTACATGACTGGTGACTAGAATTTCTGTACTGTTTCTTAACATATGTGTATATAGATTTCAGATTTCTCATACTTTCTTTCATAGGTGATAATTAAAGAAAGTATAGGAAAAGAAAAAAATACACTACCTCCAAGAAAAAAATTACTTTAATCAACATTTTTATTCAATGGTAAAAAATATGTATATACTTATAAAAATATTTAATTTATTAATTATTAATAAAGTTTCAAAAAATTAATTAATCCTTGTCAAGATAAAATTTTTGTTACGTGATTCTAGAATTTATAATTACTCCGAATTTAAAATTGATTTTTTAATGAAAAACATTAAATTACCAATTCATGAACAATTCCTGAAAATTTATGTATAATTTATATTCTCAGACAAAGTAGAATCTCATTCAAAAATATGTTAAATATTACATTAAAGATTACATGTAACTGACTGATGTAATCTATACGATAAAAAAAGAATCGATGTCTGTCTGAAAATATGTGGGATGCAGATCGGTTATCAGCAGAAAGTGAATCCATATAAGCATTTATTCAGCTTTTATTTATCGATCTCAGAATAATGCCGACGTTTTCTTACCATCCAAAAAAGGAGATTGAACGTTGCAATTATGTTGATCGTGCTTGTGTAACTTTTTGTGTCAGCACACTCGCGATTATTTTTATTATCTGCCTACCCAAGCAATTTTCGAATCTTTCGATGTGTACAATGAAAATAATGGTCGATTAAAGAGAAAGAGTAAATTTATATCAATGCGAAGACTAATAAATTTTACATAGTAATACGGAAGTGTTTCTGAATATGGTATGCTCCATTAGTCTAATTAGATGCATATGTATAAAGCTCAACGGAGTCACATGTCAGTTGTAATAAACATGTGCATTGCAAATGCATGAATATTTTTTCATGTATAATGTTGGCATAATCTCGTAAAAAATACCAGCTCTAGTTTCATTTATTATTTAACCCTTTTTTAAGAATTCACAGGTCATATTATGATGGAATTATCGCGAATATTTTACTACATTCTATCACAAATAATTAACTTTTGAAATGTAAATATAATATAATATTATAATATAAAAAATTAGTTTAAAATGTTAAAATTGACATTTCAAGTTGGTTCAACGAGAAACGTTGAATATTTATTTCTTCACTTATTTAAAAGTATAATAAAAATGTGAGTTGTACGTAAAAAAAGTGATTAGCTATCATTCTAATGGTAATTATTACAAGCTTACAACATATTTACGATATTCTGCACGAAATGTAGGTTTTAATAATTATTACGTTAACTTTGCGCGACTAGTTTAAATATTATATTGCATTATTAGATAAGTGCATTAGCACTATATAATTATGTAAAATTCAACACGAAAATATCGAGCATCGCAAAGAGGCGTCGAAATATTTTCACTCTGTTCTGAGTTTCTAAGATAGATCGCATGATTCGCTGTAATTAGTTGGTAATACGATGAGATTATAAGCCAGTAATTATCGAATTATCTCCTATAGGTGATGCTCGCATCTCAAGTCTGTTTGCAGCGTGATATTAAGTCACGATACATCTTTACATGACGAATTTTGCACGCAGTTAATGACTGCAACAATTGACTTCGAAATTAGAAACCTGCGATTATCGTTACGACATTCAGTCTGCATATTATAGTTTCTCGATGATCTAATATCTCGGTCAATTTAGCAAACATCACTTTTGCACAAGCAGTTTCCAGGTGAACAGACGATATTCATATTCCCATAATAATTCATTATCCCTTTCTCTTTAACTTCAAAACTCCATATGATGCTTAAAACATATCCCTTCAAGGATAATCGATCGGGCGTGTCGAGCGATTGTACGTTGCAGGGTTAAGTCACCTGACGTATTGTTCGGATGTTATTTAAGGCGCCGATCACTTTAATCGAAATCGCAAAAACCGTAAACCTTCGTCGCGCAGGATGACCGAAGGAAGGATGCATAATTGGCTTTGATGTTAATCGTACGCGCGCCACTCGGCTGCGCAGCTCGCAATAATGCATTGCGCAATTGAACAATTACAATCGACCTACCTACCTACCTTTGCCGACCTGTCTGCCTACGCGTTCACCTTCCTTACCCATCCTCAGTGCTCTGGAGTTCGCACCTAACTCAAGCCCCTCCCGTGACACCTGTCTCTGGGACAGTGAGACTCCACCTCGAAGGTGGCGTTACAATATTTTTCTCACTAGCTTTTAGTAGCAATTCGGTGGGAAAGAGCAGGTACAAAGCGAATATATAATCGTAAAACCGACGTGTCAAAAGACGGTTATATCACTCTATAATCTGATGATTAATTTAATTTAATTTAATTTAATTTCATTGAACAATATTTGTATGTAGATTTTCTGCAGGCGAAAATATTTTTATAAATGTATATTACATACAAACTTTATCTATATATAAAATCATAAAAACATTCTATACTTGTAATTCATGCTTTGTATTTAAATTTAGTTTGAGAAAATGTTTTATTCATCTATATATTTATACTTAATTTCCCTTTGATTAAATTTTTATCTTATTTAATCGAATAATTTTTCCCGAATAATATCTTCTTTTGCAAAATACATCGTTTAGCTGTCATAAAGATAAATTCGCGCGATATCTGAATAACGTGCATACATATATCGTTGCAGCTACGACACGGAAAACGGTATCTCCGTAGCGGAGACGGGGCAGCCGAAGAACATCGGGCCTAACCAGATCGAGGCGGTCAGAGGTCAATACAGTTATACGGCACCGGACGGCACGCCGATCGTGGTACACTATACGGCAGATGAGAACGGTTTCGTGGCGAGCGGTGCCCACCTGCCGACACCGCCACCGATACCGGTAGCGATACAACGCGCCCTGGCGTACAACGCGGCCCATCCCGAAGAAGAGGAACCCTACAGGAGATACTAGAGCTCGCTATGTCTAACTATAAGACCGCCCAACGCGCTTCGATATATCAAACACATAGCATTTTAGAGGTTGCTGCTTTGCGATCTCCGCTTTTCAATGACATATTTGATCGTTATACCATGATTTTTGATCGTTTATACGAGAGATTCTTTCGAAGCGGGTGGTTTGCTGGCTATTAATGGAAATAAACATCACAGCAGAAAAGCGATTAAATTTTATGTCTTCTCGTTGCGCCGCCGAAAACATTTCCGAAGATCGAGGATCGCGTTCGTTGATCATGCATGATTGTTTTTCGCGATTGTTATATGGATCAGCTTTATCAAAAAATATTCGTGTCAGCATTACGTGTGCAACACAAAGCACAATTGAATGAGATAATGTAAGATCGATGAGTACAAGTGACAAGAGTACAAATTCTTTGACAAGGGTACAAAATTTTTTAATTAATATTAATGTAAGACAAAAATATTACATAATTCTAGAATATTTTATTCTATTAAAAGTTTTTAATCTTTGTTTAAAATATGTACATGTAATCGAGATGCGCCTAATTAAAATGCAATTAGCTTCGCGAAAATAATATTAATATAATATTTTTAATATTTTAAATAATCGAATATAATCAATAAGATATAGCTGTTGCTATTAAAGTTTAAATTAAAATAAAATGTACTTTGGACAAAATTATCGTACATTACAATGTTGTATGCAAAGCACCTTATGTTCAGTAAAGTTCAGAATTATTACATAATTTGAGATATGATAATTTCTCAAATAAGAATTACAAAATTGCTTTATCTTTAATTGATCTCGAGAGAGATTAATAAATTAGAGAGTTATGTCGAGTCGTGCAATATTTACAGATTGAATAATTTCTTGATTTGTTAAACGATTATACTTCATCTGAGAAACCATATTTATATGTATAATAGACACAAGGATAGTTTTTATCACCATGTTCAAATTGAATTATGCATAATTAAATTAAATGAAAGCAATGTTACTCGTACTCATTGATGACCGCGCTTGCGTTAAAACGTACCTTATATAACTCTAAATATAAACTATTCAGCTCACATGAAAATATTGAATTGATAGAACTTGTGTTAGAATAATAAATTTCACATGCATGTTTTTAAAGATAAAAAATCTTTTTATCAAAAAAACTTGTGCAAAATTTTTAAAGCAAGAGATAAGCTCAAAGATAATTCTTTATGTATAACAAACCAAGAAAAAATGGTATTATGATTAGATGTAAATATACATAATTAGTTGTGGAAAGATCTGATAATATATGTAATTTTATATGATGATTACATATGTTATCAAATCTTTCCATAATTAATTATGTATGTTTTCATCTGATTATATTATACCATTTTCTCAGAAAATTTAAAAAAAGAAAATGTGATCTGTCAAAATTTTATATTATTACTGTTTAAAGTCAGCTGATAAATTAAGAATTATTAATGATATGATTTCGGGCCTATTTTTTAAAGATCTGCCGAATATCAAATGTAGCGCTTTGATCATTGATTTCAAAACAAAAATATAATATCTATATACTGATCGAGGTCTTGCGATCATCCTCGAACATTTCATTCTTTCCGAAAAGTTATAAAGACAGGAGAAGGAATAGAAGTTTCGCGGTGCAGATGCCTAAACGACAATATGTCGTATCACAAATGTGCTGTATTGTATCATATATGCTATCTTATTAAATCGTTTAATAACTCATGCGTATTTTGAGTATCGTAATCACGTGCTTATTATTATAACGTGTCATCAAAATATATATTAAGGATCCATTCTCGTTCTGTGCCTTAACCAAGATTTTTAACAAACCGGATATGGTAATAAATTATTTTAATACGCAAAATAGAATCTTCTGTTTAGCAATATCATCAAGCTACATATAATGACGACTAAAATATTTGTCATTCCTTGGTTGTGTATAAATGTTAAATTCATCGCATATCATATTTTATAAATAATGTATTTGTAATAGAACATAGATTCTGAAGATAATTTTGATTGTTATAATGCGATATTAGGCAAGATTATCAGAATTACCCGAAATCTGCAAAGTCTAACGGCTTGCATTGATTTGTTTACATAAGAATGCTGTACAAGCTGATCGCGTTACATCGTAAATCGATTGCTTAACATTGCTTACGTCAGAATTTGGAAGGCGGGGAAGAAAGGATGGTGTTTAATAGACCTTGTTTTGAATTTGATTTCGACGAGAGCATTTCTCAATCTTTTCCGCGAGAATCGAGAAAGATTTTCTTGAAGAACCATGCAACGAATCTACCTTTTCCGTCTCGATGATAATCGTTTTTAGCTGAACTAATGATTTTAACACGCGATGCCGTCGGTCAATCGTGTGAGAATTTCAATAGCTCATCATGGACCCGGTGTGAAATGCATACATTGAAATAATGACAATTAGCACAATAAGTCTGAATCGTTTTCACGAGGGTATAATGCATGTCATTATGACGTAATCGCTTATATTTGCTAAAAATAAATCCATCAAATATTAAGCAATTAACCGCAAATATATATTTCGTATTTTAAAATATTGTGATTTTTTGCATAAAATTATAAATTCTACGAGTAAACGATTAAATTTATATTATTGTTGAATTATGCGGAAACATAAAGCGTTCTCTCAAAAGTTTCTAAAAAAATCTGTAGGATTACACTATTCAAAGTATCATATTACATACTTTATTGTTCGACACGATAATAATCTTGTATTGTTTGCTATATACATTGAATTGTATATTTATTTATCGGTTGTCGGGGTATTAACAATCATCGTCAATCGTATCTGTCTTCGATAGGAAACGCGGGGAGACGCTGGCTCTAACAACCATTAATTAAAATCGATTCTCACCTTATTCGCGCCGATAAAGAGCTGCTTAGCACAATCACGTTATGGCAGCGAGATTGTAATCGCGTCGTGCGCGAAATTTTAGGCGGACCAACCGGCCGTGGAAATGCCATCCGGATTAATGTTAATGGTAATCGTAATATCATGTTAAAGGTGAGTCAGTGAAAGCTAATCATCGGTCTCCTGTCTATTGCATAACGCGCGAGCGAGTGAGCGAGCGCATCTCTCGAAACTCCGCGATTTATCCGCGAGATGGAAATAACGGGGTATCAAATTTAGCGACTATTTCTATGACTTGATAGAGTCACGAGATACGAGACAGATGGATCATAAAGTTATGAGATTCAGAAGCGTGGATCCTTTAGCGGAGCCTTAAGAGAGATGCTGATCGTAAAATTTTATTTCTCGCACGATGTGATACGACGATCGCGCGATAATCGCTGATAATTAGTTCTCGCGGTTGCACGCCCGGTATATGTTATCGGGCAAGTTATGCATTTACAATACAAACGATCATCGAGACGTAAATTGCATCTGCAAATCAAACGGAGCAGTTAATCGAAAGGTCAATTGTTCCATTTTCTGAAATTAATTGATGCTAATTGCAACATTGATTGAAACCACTTTACGGTATTTCTAGGATATGAATGATCCATGAATTTGACAACCCCGTTTTGATTTACGAAGCCGATATCGAATTACATGATATCGCGCGTGTAAATTTTCGCGTCGCGCAAGTGATGCAAACTTAAAGGTCATTTGAACTATTTAATGTCTGGATTTCGCGCGACGCGAAAGTGAAGTATTGTTGAAAATTATAATCGACAGTTGATAGTCGGTCATTACCAGCTGACAGTTATTAATGGCGATAGTTAGTTATGGCGACTAAATAGACGGATTCGCGCTTCGTGTGAAGTGCATCGCTAATACGCGCGAAATTTTGTATCTGTCAATTATTTTATTTAGGAAAAACATAAAAATCAATTATTATTATTATTACATAATATGAAAAATATTTTTAAACGGCTTTAATATTAGTTCTCGTTAAACGAAATTTGTAACAAAAAACGAGCTAAAGGTTACGCACGTGCGTATATAAACACGTGCTCCTCTCTAAATATCGAGGTCGAAAGGTCCTCGCCTTTCCATGTTGCAATTCTTAGACGGTCTGCATATGTTTCAGAGCAATAGATTAGATATACAATATTTAGCTAGATAGATTTCAATTATAACACATTAAATAATTATACACTGGTACATTATCATGTAACTTGCTGAACATTCCAAGAATAAACGTTGCCATTGATTAATTATGAAAATCTCCGAAGAGAACTTGATTCAATAAATCTCTATTAAATCTCCAATAAATATAATACATATCTATATATCAATTAATTGACATAAAAAATTCCCTACAAAGTATATATTTTATACAGTCGAGTTAACGCTAATAATTCACTTTTGCCTTTAAAATGTCTTTATTTTTTTCGCGCAAGTTTAGACATTTCATGGTTCTGATATCCGATTAATTAAAATTGTATAAAATATAATTCCATTTACTCATTTATCATGCTGTAAATGAGCAATCTGTGTAATATTTCGAAATATATGAATTATTAATTCCCTTGTTGCTGCAACAGCAAAATTCGCGCGTGCGTACGTCAAGTCACGAGACCCTTATTCGCTGTTAACGAGGTTGTATCCCGATGACCGAAAGACCGACCACAGGAATAAGAAGTGGATCGGGCCTCCATAATCAGTAAGATCAGCAAAAACACGCGATGCACGAAATCGATATTTTGCATACAATTGTGAAGCGTTTTGGCGCGCGAGTCTCGCATCAGCGATATCGGTCAAGGAATTGGACACTTCTGGACCGGATGTATCCTGTCGCAAAGATCGCGATCACACTACATCGCTTTGTCGCCGATCGTCTGAAGTCATCGCTTTTGCGCAACGAAAACTCGGCAATATATGCAGCTATTGTTTCTGGCAATATAGCATTGCCGCAGTTCTCGCTGTTGGAAAAGATCGAGATTTATTTAGTATGCAATATAAACTAAACTTAAAATCATAATTTAATAAAAAAAAAAAAAAAAAAGAAACCTAATTACATGGCATTTAATGATAGAATATTTTCCCATTTATTTTTCTTGATCTTTATATAATTTTAATTTTTTTCTCTAATTTTTTATTTGTTAGCCATGAAAATAAATTGAACACTGCAATATGCAATACTTTACATATTTTTATAATTGCTCTATTATTTCCGTCATCATAATTATAACGATATTAACGTTTTTCTAGGTCTTCTAACAATTAAAAAAATGAGAAATAAATGACTATAGATAAAACAATAACATTAAAAGCAGAAATATGTCATCAAATGTAACTGAATAAAATATAAATTAATTAAAGATATAAAACACAAAGAATCAACAATATATTATATATATGTATAGAACATTTAAAATGCGATTTGTACACCAATAAAAATCTAAAAATAGATACGCGGAAATGAGAGGCAGAGTATTAATAGCAAATTGCAAGGGAACATTAAAATGTCCACTTTAACGTGATCGTGGGATCTTCGTGATAGATGAATCTCCGATAAATGATAAATAATGATAGTTAAACACGAGTCTCCCGACATGAATTCCTCTTGCCGTTCGTCATCTATAACGAAAAGAAAGGAGGCGCTTCGAATGCCAGCGACAACAACGCAATTCGTTCGCACGATTGATCCGGGTAGTTGCTAAAGAAACAATCCCTAATAAGTACCTCGTCATGTGCCAATGATCGTAACCTCATCCTCGTAATCATGCCATGACATCATCGACATAATGTATCGCGCGCTACGACATATCAGTGCGAAATGAGAAATGCGATTTCACCCTTCGCGCTGATTATCGGAGACCTTGAAGCTTTCATTGCGATGACAGACGGAATAAGAAGGAGGCGCAGAAGAAGAGGTTTAATTGTGTTCAATACAATGAGACAAGATCGATAAAGGAAAGATGAAGACTTATAGCAAAGATATCTAATAATATACGATTATCGCGATTGCTGTAATAAATGTTACTTAGAAAATACGAAAGATTCACATATTTAATGGCGAGAGATTAACGCGATTATTTATCCCATCAAATATAATTATAACGTTTTAAAAATTCGGTATTAAAAGTAAAGAGAGAGCCACAAAAATTATTAAAATTAGATGTCAATGTTGTTCAATATCACGAGGCTTCTACATCGATTTTTCTACATGGTATCAAGAATATTAAGAAAAATTCATAAATTAAAATCACTCGTTGTATCCCAAGTAATTACGATGTGTCAAACACGGTAGTAAAAAATAAAGGAGAAACGTGGGAAATCTAACGCAAAATGAAGAAATTTAAATGCTAATATATATCGTCATCAAAAACCTTAGAACTTCTGTGCTAATTGTGCGCCGTAGGATTAATGAAATCTTAGAGGAGAAAGTTCTTCACGGTTTATCAAGAGGGAGGAAGTACTCGTCAATCAACTGACCTTTAAGTACAACAAACCCGTTTTTCTCGCTCGTTCTCATAAATTCGAAACTCGCTCGGAAGATGCGGATTGAGGTGCACGACGAGATGCGGCGCAAGTAGATCACGTCGAGATGGGAATTTCGCCGAAGGTGTGCACCGGCGGGTTTCGGACTCCCGAGCGCGAGATCGTTCGGGATCGAGCCGATCGTTTCGAATATACGGAGGAGAGAAAGAGCCCTTCCTCTTTTGCCCCTCGATCACGAGGCTCATTCAGGACGGCTCCAGATCTGAGGCCTGCCTCGCCTCGGGACGTACGAGAGACTCACTTGAACCCGGGATCTGACCTTTCTGGTTTTATTAGCCACGTCGACTTAGGTATGCCTCGTCATCTCGGCGAGGCTCTCGGTGTTTCACAAAGCACGCGCGCGCTCGCAATAGAAGAGGCGCATACCTTCGGGGTCCTCCCAGCATCCTCCATCCGAGAATTATGCAAACCGATCCGCGCCTTGCGGTTCTCCGTCCGCTGCTGAAATTGCTCGCCGCGCTACATCGCGCCTCAAGACAAATCGATATACGCGCGATGACATTGTTCGTCGTTAGATATACTAAACAAGGATTCGATCTCATTTTGAAATTTTAGTCAATTTTTTATGGGGATTTTTTTATGGGAATTTTCAAGGAGATTGACGGACAAGGTTTTTTGTTTCTCGAAATTATAGACGCGAAAAACACGGATGACACCCGTAATTTCATTTACGATACGCGATCTGAATAGTACAGATATTTCAAAGCGTGCTTCAAATCTTGTGACACTCAACCTTATTATATGTCATTCATAATTATTATCCACTACAATGATAACTCAAAAGTTCAATACGGCATAAAGCTAAAAAATTTAATAAGTATTTATATTTTAATATTTCAGCTATAATTTATTCTAATATTTAAATTGTCAAACTATTTCCTTAAAATATTATTTTTATTGCGTTGTTATTGCATTTTAATCCTGTATTTGTTAATTTTTACCTCGAAACAGCACAATTTATTAGTAAATTTTATCAAGAAGTACCGCTGTTAGTTTCTCAGGATGTTTTATCTTCTATATATTCACATAATTTAAATGAAATGTTCGTGATATATTCAAAAATGATTTAAAAATATTAACATATTGTAGAGGAAATGTAGACAACATTTGCTGATCATTACAAAATAAACTAACGAGTTTGTCTGTAAAAGACAACCTTGGAAATAAATATCGCAGACCAAGGAAATAATTACCAAATGTCTTCTCAAGTGACCTAATCATATTTAATGACAATCTATTACGATTCTGACACCGCTACTTCATTCTTGAAGTACAGTTGAATAATTAATGTACATAACTGCAACGAGTTTATAATATCACTAGATTTTAAAAATCGAATAAGCGCATAATGTTCGAGGAAAATAACATTTTAGCCGCGTAAAACGAAGACGAATGATAAGTACGAGAAATTTTAACGCTCGATAAATCAGTGATAAACGCCACAAATATCTCGGTTGTTATTAATCGTCGCGTGCGAGAACAGCAGCGATACATAAGCTTATGATTTTATGGATTCGGGATGCTGCATATATACATATGCATATGTTATATGCACGTATGAAAGAGCGAAGTTCGAGAGACTCCTGTCTAGTGCAGCTGGTGTTTAATGAAAACTGCGAATACCACTTACTCGACGACATTTCGCAGGTTGTTTACTACAATGTATGCACGTATTTCTCGGTATATACTGATGGTTAAAGAAAACGCTGGTAAACGCCAAGTTAAATGTGCCGTATTAACAACTTGGGGAAGTAGAATTTGCCTTATGCGCTCATCTTTTTGCAACAACGGGTTCTAGGACTCTAAGGACTGGGTAGGATTATCGGCTATATAATCCGACTCTCGGGTTCCCGGATTCTCTACCGTTCCTTAGCGATTATTGCATAAAGTCGGCGAACGCTAGAGAATTATACATGTTATCTTGTGTGCACGCGACACAAAGTAAATATAATAATTATTAATTTGATCTATCGTTGTTTGGTTTATGGTTTTAAAAAAATAGATATATATGTACGTGTTTCTACATATATGCACAAAGTGAATTCTATCAACAAATAATGTACTAGTAATAATAAATTATAATCAGAATTGCATTATTTAAAGTTTATCGGTGAAATTGGATTAATATTGCTAACAATGAAAAGTCTCTATCAATATTGCGATTTATGAAGATTTCTAATACATTAATTAAGAAAATCTTTCTCGTTAATATTAAAAAAGAATTATTACCGCTATTATTAAATTTAATAGGCGCGAAAGTTCATAAGCGATTCGGAGCTTCGGTCATAAGTTATCGGTCAATTAACGTCTGCTTGAAGAATGTCAATACTGATTAATACTAAATATAGTAAATGTATTTTAAATAATTAGTTAGTTTTATGATATCAAGTTGACATTTTCCCTCCCGAACAGCATCGACAAGGCAAATCGGGTAAGTAGATAGGTAAGTAACTAACGATTCGCTTTTCAATCGATTGAACGATAATTGCCTGTGGAAAATGATGAATAGCCGCTTTCCGCAGGCATTACTCGGCTTGGCGCATTGTGTTGTATGTACATACATTACATGTATGCATCGCATCAATTCCCGCGCGCAGCGAGTTCGTTTTATGAGTGCATTCAATTTGCCGGTTGAACCGAATCGCGTGTGCATCGAGTCGAGTCGCGGATTCTCGTGCAGATTGCACTCCTCAATCTGGGAAATATTACGACTTCGCGAGCGCGATTATTGTATATACGTGATCGCACTATGCGGATAAATGCGTTTATTCCATGTTCTGGGAGTGGAGAACGCCTTAGGAGAACGCAATTATATATTGAGACTTTGCCCTTAAAGTGTACTGTATCGTAGAAAAAATGAAAGAGAATCTCGAGAAGAGAAAGAAACAAAATGAAAAAAGATTGCTACATAAAGATGTATAATTTGTTAATGCAAACTGAGAAAAATATTGCTTTTAAACAATCCACGGATGTTTATTATTTCATTTAATTTTCAATTTTCTAGATATAATGAATCTTTGTCGGACATAGAATTATTTATGATTTCCATTGTACTGTTACAAAATTATGATTTTGCAACATTCATGACAATTAGCGTTCACATCACCTTTTTTTCTATCGAAAGATCTATATTATTTCTAATGCAAAATGAGATGAATTCTCAAGGCTGAGAGAAAGAGAATTTGAACGATGTTTTATTTCATATTCTCGCGAGGTGCATCGGTATATAACAGCTATTATGTAACGCTCCCAATATACATGACGAAATCAGATGGTATGAATGGGTATCTTATAGTGCATTGTTTCTGATTTGTCCGTTTTGCAGTTGCGTTACATACGCAAGAGATGTAGACATCGATGGCGGATTGTAAAGCCCGCGTGGATCGGCAGGTGGATCCATTTATCGTGATTGTCTTGAAGTAATCGGAGGACAATGCGTATATATGATTATATTCAGGATCTGCGTGAGGAACGAAAGCAATGTGACAATAATGTGAGAAAAATGAAATCATCGCTGTCGATTATGCGCCGTACCCTGTTCGATCTCGAATCAAATGCTTGTCGCATCCGTTGTTGGCCAACAACGGTTCGCGGCCGCGTAGGATTTACATACACAGATTATCCGTGTCCCGCATTTCTTCAATGCAAATGCGCGCACGATACCGACTGTCATGAGCGGTATAACATTTAAATATATTGGGAGTCGCCGATGGTATCGGGAGAAAACACTAGTCCTGCCTATGTTCCTTTTACATTTACAAATGAGAATGTTCTGCGCATTATTTGTAGTCTTTGTCATTGCTTGGTATAAAACTGAGTTTAGTTTATTTAATAACTATCCCTGCATATGTCATCTATTTTCCAATAAAAAAATATACAATAATTGTGCGTTACGAGAGCTTAATTTTTGCTAAAAAATTAATCTTGATTTTCCGTAAAGAAAGATCGGTAGAAGATTGTTCTAATTCGGACGTAATACAATATTTAGTAACTTAAAAAATATCTGAGAAATTGTCTTTTTTTTTTCATTGAACCTATTAGCATGATAAGTACGAAAAATCACATATTTATCATGTACAATGACACCCACATCGTTGTTTCTCGCAACGACGACGGAGCTCGGTACATTAACGAATGACTCTATTAAGCTGAAACAGTAGCCGGCGTGGGCTACTCGGTACACACATAGGTACGTGTGCCAATAAGTATAATCGGCTCGGCAAATTAAATTCACATACGTCGATCTATTCGATCGCGTAAGGACCGACGTCGATCGCGGGATGCTGCGCACATGCATATGTCGGGGTTTGCCAGGTGGGGCGGGAATATTACGAGGACGATGAGGGATCCCCGATAGAGGAGAATGCTCCTCTCCCAACATGAACGAGCGCGCGATTCTACGCAGAAATCGGGAGAAAAGGAAGGGAAGAGATCCTCTTGGGCGTCTTCATATAAATGCTGGCGGTGCTCGCAGCACAGGATCACATAGATTTGATCGTCAAATCGACAGCCGTATATATACGAACCGCCGGCACGAATCGTCATCATCATGCAGTATCTAGTGAGTGATCTATTTCGTCGAGAGCGCTGCCGATTTTTTGGATATCGATCGCCGATCCTGCCATGTCTGTTTTTCGCGTGTTTCTTTTTACTTTTCTCTTTTTTTCATTTATTGGTGGATATGCGAAGATTTATAAATTGCGCGATGATCAATAGATATTTATCAATAAAAAAATTTAAGAATATCAAATCATCTTTCGCTAAATTACGATTTACACGCGAGTTTCGGTTTGTAAAAGGTTCGCATTTCGTCAGCGAAGTAATCCGTACTCGGAATTCGCGTAGATTGCTTAAAGATTGAAGGACAGTGGCATTTCAAATAATAAACGGACATAAATAGCGAATTTTGGACTTTGGCGGGTGTCAAATAAAAATGTGATGCCTTGATGCTAATTAAAGGGGAATATAAAAATATAGATCGTCTGAAATTTTAAATAAAATATAGCGCGAAAGCATGTGCTTCACATAATTCGAAAGAAATTAAAATTAAATTGACGTCAATACTTTAGTCTCTAATTATCAATGTATAATCTCTTCCTGCATATGTATACTTTGTGTACTTATTAAAAAATAGTTAATAGGATATTTATGTAAATATAAAAAAAAATATTTTCGAATATTTTTTGTATATCAATTAAATATATTAATATGATTGCAGATTTTGGCCTTTGCAATTTTTAGCTGCGTCTTCGGACAATTCGGATCTTTCCGCGGCTTTCCTAGCCAAAATGCATACAGAGCAACGCCAAGACCTTATCAACCACAACCACAACCGCAACCGCAGCCGCACTATACGTATGAAATCTGTTTAAATCGCTAAAATCTTAATTCTTATAGCAACTTAATAGGAAAATTATTTTTTTGAATTATAAAATTAGAATACATTTTTTACATCCCTGTCGCAAAATTATAATATGATGAAAAATCTCCTCAGAAAAGTTACATTGATATTAAAATATTTTTAATTACAATACGTTATACGTTTGAGTCGTAAAAAAATTAAAGCATTCAAAGTAAGTAATTGTTTCAATGACATAAAAAATTATTTCAATAATTTATATAAAAATATTTTTTTTTAAAGTATTGTTAAAAACTGTAAAGATATAAAATTATTTTTTATGTAAATATTTTCTGCTATTGTTTTCATTCTCTAACTTAATTTAGCATTAAAATAAATGTAAACAAAGACACGAGACTAAAATATCCTTTGCGTTATATAATATGAAAACGTTTATTCAAGGCTGCACAAAATGATACGGTTGTGATTTTTTGCTTTTTTTTAGATCTGGTGCAAAACCGTTTATAGGCATTCGTAGCCAGCAGAAAGATACATCGCCGGATGGATCTTATACTTTTAGCTATGAAACCGAGAATGGAATTTCAGTTTCCGAAACCGGACATCCTCAAGCCGGACCTCAAGGTCAAACGGAGGTAATAATTATTTCGCATTGCTGTATATTTTTATACATATTTAATATATATAATCTCTATATGTAAGAAATCATTCCATTCAAAAGTCATATACAAAAAGACTTAATTATTTTCATTAGAAATTTCCATTAAATTTTTACGACATTTATATTACAGTTGCAACAAATATTATATCAGATAGAAATTGATATTAAAATTTTTATTTTTTCCATTCCCAATTTCGTTTAATTAAATTCAATAATACATTGATTGAATCCAGTATTTTTAAATTTGAAAAAATTAATTTACTTAAACTCTCGTGTACATTTTGTTAGATTTAATATGTTATATTTAATATTTCCGCTCAATTAACAAAATAATATTTAATTAAATGATTTAGTCAAGTTAGCAAATTTTTTTCAGTATATTCTTTAAAAAAGTGAGTCAAAACATGATTGCATGGAATTTTTCAATAATCCTATTAGAGTAAAAAAATCAAAGTTTCATTTACGATGTAGTGATTTTCTAATATATTATATATATTAATATCCACAGGTGGTTCAGGGCAGATTTTCTTACCCTGCTCCTGACGGTACCCCTATCACCATCGAATATGTAGCCGACGAGAATGGCTTTCACGCTCAGGGTGCCCACATTCCTACACCACCTCCCATTCCGGAAGCCATCAGAAGGGCGCTTGCGGCGAACCCACCCGGACCGGATGACGAAAAATATGACAAGTACGACCGGCAACCATTTCAGCAGAGATTCAGCGGACCGGCGTATAACGCCAATCCTTATCGAAGATTCTAATTTTGCTGCACACCGTTCGATCCGCAAAATCTCTTCACGACGCACAGCCAAACGAATCTACTAGACGGAGGCTCGGCTAGATAGATCGGTTTCTGAATCATCTTCTTTCCCCCAGCCTCTAATCCGGAGTGATACACGTGTACATAGGATAGAGTACGGTGGATATAACAACAGTATCGACCCTTACAATGTAACTGTCGTTGTGCAATAAATCAATATATATATTGTTTCTATTTGATTTTATATTTATTTTTTACCTTTCTTGTGTTTTTGAGTTTGTCACAATGTAGATAGAAATCGAGAGAAATGCCTATTTATTATTATTCGATAATACCTATACACTAAAGAAATTTGCAAACTTGACTAAATCTTTCAATTAAATATTTTGCTACTTGAACATATAAAAATATTTAAATTAAATATAACATTAAAATTCAACAAAACGTATATTTGACTTATGCTATAATATATGTTCAATTAACAAAATAGTAATTTAGTTGAAGGGCCAAGTTAAATTTTTTTCAGTGTACAATTTTTCCTTCTAATCGGACGACATTCGATAATTCGATAATGAGTTTGATAATTTATTATACGTTATATTATGTAGATTACATGCTCAATTATTACTCAAGGATTATCCGTGGGAAGAGTTCGCGAATGTTTCTGCGAAGTTTTTTACGATGAGTTACATGTTCTATTCGTTCGATCGTACCATATTCCCACGAAAATAACGAGTGGCGTATAATAATAATATAATAAGATTATAATTCTAGAGATAGAAAGAATGCTTAAATGTCAAGCTCCACCCATGTCGAAGTTGTAACATATTAGATTAGTAATATTTTTTTTGTTCGGTGCGAAATAGCGCGGGTTTATTTAAAAAAAAACCACGATCAAATTTAAAGGAACAATTTCAAAGTCATTTTTCATTTGCCTTAGGACTTGACCCAGTGACATACATCGATGGCGAGAAAATGTCAGTTTTACAGGCACGTCATGCTGTTGCATGATTTTATACGAGGAACGGTACTTATTTGTTCCTACACCGCTTCGTCTATAATTTATTATACATTAATTGTGGCGCGCTTTATACTACACTTTGTAAGCAGCTACTACTTTGTTTACTATCGCGTGCGACAAAAAAGCACAACAAAGACAGCTACACGGAGAGAATTTTCTCTTAGAATTTATCCTGAAAATCATGGTAATCGTGGGACAATATCAAAGACAATATGATAGAATATTATAAGAGTTTCTTTGATTAATATTTGCCACGATTAAAAATATTAATATCTGCGATATCTACAATAAAATATAAAATATGTTCGATTAATTTTACTACGTATATAGTAAAAATTACTATGTATTGTACATATTAATATTTTTTATTGTGATAAATATTAATAAAAGAAAACTTTTATAAAATTATTCCAATACCATGTTGATTTTCAGGGTAAATTCTAAGAGAAGATTTTTTCCGTGTACGTATAAAAATATTTCACTACGTATAAAAAAATTATCTCAAAAATGCTCGAATAATTTATAAAATCGTGATAAAGTTTATCGCAATTAAATGCAATTAAAAATTAATATGGCAAGTGAACAATTGTAAGATTTATGAATTATTGCTTCTACTTTGCAGATTAAAATAATATGCAAAGTGTAAATTCGCGATTACCTTTACATAAGAGAAGAGCATGCATGAGCAGTTCAACTTCGCAAAAGTTGCTAAAAAGTTCACAGTAGACTCAATTGAGCCTTTCACGCTATCATTGATTTTCTAATATTGATTTCGCTTTTTTACTTATTGACTCAAAAACATGCAAATTAAAAATTCGAGCAGAAAATAATAATTCCTATATATATAATTTATTAATATCTAAAAAATCTACAGTAATGTCACACATATAAATCTTTATATTATATTTTTATTATATCTGTATGTACATATATAGAATGTCTGCATTCAGTGCAGCAACTTTAGCACATGAAAACAAATCGATTTTAATAAATAAACATATATCCGAATCTGTATGGTTTTGAAGTTATAGAGTTATTAAAATTGCTTTATTAAACAATATAAATTTAAATGTTATTTAATATTCTTTATTCTGTTTAAATCTTTACAAAAAGTGCTAAAAAATTTCTTTGTCCACTTCGACACTTTTTCTAGCACGAATTAATAAATTTTATTTCGAGCTTTGTGAAAAATGTTTGGAATTTCATAAATGACATTTTTCAAAAAACTCGAAATAAAATTTATTAATTCGTGTTAGAAAGTGTGTCGAAGTCGACAGAAAAATTTTTTGAGTCTCTTTTGTAAAGATTTAAATTGAATAAAGAATATTAAATAAAATATTTATTTCAATTTATATATTGTCTTACGAAAGCAACTTTAATATTTTATAACTTCGAAATTGTTCAGATTCAGACATGTGTTTATTAACATTTTTGACTTGTTTTTATGTGCTAACATTAAATTCAAAGACATTTTGTAAATATATATATTATAAGATGTAAAAGAAATAAAAAATTATATATGTTTAATAAATCTCAAAAATTTTGTTATTTTTTATCGATTACTCATCGCGAAAAAATTCATGCGCTAATTTATCATGTCTTGGTGAAGAATCAAAAGCCAAACCGATTTTAAAAAATAGCGTAAAAATCTCATGACAACAAGGTTAATACCCTGACCTTTCTATACAACGAAAAGATAAGCGAATGCACACGATTGAAGTTCGCATACACGCCTGCAGCAAATGTTTTGAACTTGCATTTATATGCAATGTTACGAGCAAACGAATAAATTTGTCATACTAAATAAATCTGTAAATTAATAAAAAAAAGCTGAAATAAAATTTCTCTCTTCTTATTTATTACACATTATTAGTTCGAAGATAATGAAACATTTTTTTACGTATATATTGCTTCAATAAAAAATTAAATTCTTTATATTCCTTGAAAACTTAAATCTTGATTTTATTTATTTTTTTTTTAAGCACCGATGAAAGCAGAACTTCCTTTTCAGTAACGTGCAAAAAAAAGGATTGCACATCACGACTGAAAGTGTGCAAACGCATCTTAAATGAATCATAGCGAACGAACAGGGTGGGACGGGTACAGGTGAAAGTGTTATACGCACATCTCGGCCTCTCTTTCGTTACTTTGCATTCTTCCACGCATCATCCCGGTCAAGGACCGATTCATGCAGCGCAACTTGGGCGGTCCTCCACTTATTCCCTCGAAAGGTTCGATCATGAAAAGAGGAAGGGGGAAGCAAAAAAGTGAAGAGACATCCGCGATTTTGTCGAACACGACGAAGTCGTGTATTATTCATCTCGAGTCAACATTTAACCCTACTTTCCTCGAATGTCGGATTGTTGAGATATATTTTATAATAATTATATATAGCCATTAATTATTCCCGATAATATATATTATATATTGCCAGTAAAATAACTGGTTAACAATATATCAATTGGACAAGACGTGTGTAATACACGAAAAAGAGAATCAGATATGAAAAATTCAATATACATGTTAAGATGTTTATTAAAAAAAAAAAAAAAAAAACAGATATATGACGAACCTTTTGACGAACTCGAAGTCACAAAAGTCAAATAGCACGTCAAGTTGAATCTTCTCTCTCGAATAACACTATCACTCGTGAATTATGCACTTTATATAAACTACTATGCACGTTGAAACAATATAAACAATAAACAATATCTTTGCTTACGCGTTACTTTTTCTGTATACACACGAAAAATGGCGGTTATTTTTTTAATCGTTTAACTGTGTGGTTAAGCGCCATCTACAGAGCAGAATTGTAACTACTAAAGATAATCAACCATAGGTAATTTATTTATATAGATAATGCAGATGTATTTACCATACGTCCAATCAGAGAGGAGAATTTCAATCGTTCAGATTTTAAGGTAGGTCGCTTCTCTCAGACTTTTTTTATCATCGCCACAAGCCACAAAATTCCGCTGATTTCACTCGTAACCTAAGTGAAACCTAACCTTTCTGCGCGAAGGCAGAATTGTCAGTCACCTTGTCAGTTTCGCGAGGAATAAACGAACTGTTAATAAATAAGGCGATTTAATAAAGACGCAAAGATGCCGGACCATTTAGGAGAAGATATGCGAAAAGTGAAGAACGAGGAAGAGAAGGAAGAAAAGGAGATAAAATGTGAGTTGTAGCTCTTTAATTCTCTTTGTCACTCTTTACTTTGTCATTTTATTTTCTAAAGACTATCTTCTGAATTTTCAGCGTTGGACGAAGGAGACATCGCTTTGTTGAAAACTTATGTGAGTTAAACTACTTAAATTGTTGTTAAAAAAGATTTTAAAAAATAGATATTATTCAGAGACGAATACACATTAATCATATAAAAATGTCATATCTCGATTAATATTCCTTTAAATTTATAATTAAATATTGCAATATGTAATGTCATTATTGTATTAATCAGGGCCAAGGACAATACACAAAGAGTATTAAAGCTGTCGAAGAGGATATTCAAACTATCATTAAGCGTGTGAATGAATTAACTGGTATCAAAGAATCGGATACTGGTCTGGCACCACCAGCACTTTGGGATCTAGCAGCGGATAAACAAACTTTACAGAATGAACAACCGTTACAAGTGGCACGCTGCACCAAAATTATAAATGCAGATTCTGATGATCCAAAGTATATAATAAATGTGAAGCAGTTTGCGAAATTTGTAGTCGACCTAGCGGATTCTGTGGCACCAACTGATATAGAGGAAGGCATGAGGGTAGGAGTGGATCGTAATAAGTATCAAATTCATATTCCATTGCCATCCAAAATTGATCCTACTGTAACAATGATGCAAGTTGAAGAGAAGCCTGATGTCACTTATAGTGATGTCGGTGGCTGCAAGGAGCAAATTGAGAAATTGAGAGAAGTTGTTGAAACACCACTATTACATGTTAGTATATAATCACATTTTTATAACAATTTCTTTTTAGTAAAATGTTAGAATAACAATAAAAATTAATTGCAGCCAGAGAAATTTGTTAATCTGGGTATTGAGCCACCAAAAGGCGTATTGCTGTTTGGACCACCAGGTACAGGGAAGACTTTATGTGCCAGAGCGGTGGCTAACAGGACAGATGCCTGTTTTATTCGTGTAATTGGTTCAGAATTAGTCCAGAAGTATGTTGGTGAAGTAAGTCAGATTTTGTATAAAAACTCTGTTATAAAACTTTATATGCAGATTGCTTATGTATAATAATTTGATTTTTTGCAGGGTGCTAGAATGGTAAGAGAACTATTCGAGATGGCACGAAGTAAGAAGGCTTGCTTGATCTTCTTCGACGAAATCGATGCCATCGGTGGTGCCCGCTTCGACGATGGTGCCGGCGGCGATAACGAAGTGCAACGTACTATGCTTGAACTAATTAATCAATTAGATGGGTAAGCTATCATCATCTGAAGATTTGACACTTAAACTGTTCTATGATTTATTTGTAAATAATTTTCTTCTTTTATTGTTGCAGATTCGATCCGCGCGGTAACATAAAAGTTCTAATGGCAACGAATAGACCGGACACGTTGGATCCTGCGTTGATGCGACCGGGTCGTCTGGACAGGAAGATAGAATTTGGTTTACCAGATCTTGAGGGACGCACGCACATCTTTAAGATCCATGCACGCTCGATGAGTGTCGAGAGGGATATTAGATTCGAACTGCTTGCTCGTCTCTGTCCCAATAGCACAGGTGCTGAGATTCGATCTGTTTGTACCGAAGCTGGCATGTTCGCGATTCGTGCACGGCGCAAGGTTGCTACGGAGAAGGATTTCCTTGAGGCGGTCAACAAAGTCATCAAGTCTTATGCTAAATTTTCGGCAACGCCCAAGTACATGACTTATAATTAGAATGCATTTGTGATCCGTTTGATTTTCATGTCTGATAATTTAATATTAACGTATTATAAGTCTTACAATAATTTCTATCTATTTTGTGGATAAATCAAGAAACAATTTTGTTCTAATAAACTGTTGTTTTCTGATTTTCACAAAAATGTGTTATAATCCCAATAACTTGACTTTTCTACGCATGTAAATTTTCGAATTTTATTTTAATCGGTCCATCAGGTATATTTATTAGGAACGAAAGTGAACCAAGATCAGATTTTCCACACCATGTAAACTTCAAGTTTCTGCATATCTACAAAGAAAGCATTAAATTAAATTAAATTATAAGACCGTGCGTTACGATATCTTTATAGTTCTTAAAATATGTACATACTCGCAGTAAGAGGACTTGCAAGTTCTGCTCCGCGAATCGTCTCGCGATGCACGATCGCGGGCCATGACCAAAAGGCAGTACTATATATGGACTTAAAGATTTTTCTCTCGTTATCTGATTTATTTTATTGTTACTATCACGTAACCATCTTTCTGGTATAAATGAATTTGGTTCATCGAAATATTCGGGAAGTCGACAAATTACTTGATTCTGCGTGACAACTAGCGTCTGAAACATTTTAATAAGATTTTTTCTTTAAAAGTGATTTTTTTCTTAAATACACTATTATTTTAAAAATAAAATATTTAATTTTGTAAGTAAAATATAACATTACTCCTTGAGGAACGTGATAGCCGCTAAGAACCACGTCGGTTTGCAGAATACGCCCTACTCCAACTGAAATTGGATTCATGCGAAAAGTTTCTTTTAATACAGCCTTAGTATATGTGGCATTCTTCAAAGTCTCTGCTGTTATTGGAGAAGTGCCATCTTTCAATAAAGCTGTAGCTTCTGATCGCAGCTTTTCTTGGACATTTGTATTTTTTGCAAGATGATACAAAGCGAATGCTGTGGTATATGTCGTCTGAAACAGAAATCGTATTTTCTTTATTACATTTTTGTTCTCTGTGCTAATTATATTTAGAAATTTAATTAATTTCAAGAAACTTACGGTATCCACACCGGCGAGCAACATGTCACATGCCATACCCACAATATCTTTAAAATCTAAATTTTCATTTTTGAAATACTGTTGAAGAAGTGATTTTTGACAGATTGACGTGTCCTGATATTTCTGAGCAACTATGTCTAGCGCTACTCTGAAATATTTCAAAAAATTTTATAAGTCATGGTAAAATTATATAAATCGTGAATAAGACTTTAATAGAAATTAATTTCACAATTATATAATTGTCGTAACAAAAAATTCTTGAACACAAAAATATATCTTTCTATAGAAAAGATAAAATATAAATTATTTAAATTTATCTGCATATATAAATTTTCTTATCATCTCTTATAATTTTTTTAAATCCAATTTTCTCTTTACAAAGTAAAATATTTAGAAGATTATAATTTATTATAATTAATTATAAACTTACTCTTCCATGTAATTTTGGGCTTTTCTCAGTTTTTTATACAAAGGCGTTTCGAAAAATCGCCAAAGCATTGGACCATTATCAAGTTTCAGAGTTGCGCTGTTTGATGAAAATGCTGCATCAATAAGTCTTGAACTTCGGGAATTTGGATGTCTTTCTTTTTCCGATAAACTCTCCATTTTTATATCGAAAACGACGAGACACGTCACTGTCATTAGTAAAGTAAATTGTAAATATATTAACATAATTTATATTCAGTAAAAGTTATCAGTCATCTTTATATTTTGTGTGTTTTTATCTTAACATAAATAATTTTAAGCTATAAATAATTACTATATATTTTTAGCTATAATTAATAATAATGAATGAGATAATATAATTTATTTTAAGAATTTTAATAAAATCTTACATTCAAGGAAAAGACGCGAAAATAATGACAGAAAATCATTGGTTTTTTCATAGGCACAGAGTCGTACAAATTCTTGAACAACGAGATCAGTATCCTCCAGATAATCGATAACATTTTGTGGTTTACTAAGGACTTTTTGAAACTCACGGCGCAGTCTCCACCATTCAGTGCCATTTCTAATTAATTTAAAAAATTTAATTTAATTTAATTTAATTTATCGTATATTTTCTGATATAGCGAAATTTTTGAAGCGATTTTATCTGATTGAAGATTTTTCTTACATATTGCAACAAAATGCAATATAAAATATCACAGAAAGCTTCTTACGTAGTTAAAAGACCTCCAGTGTTATAGATGTTACTTCTATCTGTTCTATATTTAAGAAGTGCCAGGTGAGACCTTCTCTTAGGATGTAAGCCTGTTTCAGCTTTAAAAATTTTCTCGATATCTTCTGGTTCAAAAACCCATACTATCGATTGACCTGGTACTATTTCTTCTCGCACTAGAGATCCGTATCGTTTTAGTTTCAATAAACCATTCATATACAATTTCACGAAACTGTATTCACCTACGTCATTGGTATAGTTAATAAAATTAGTTTATTACAATTATAAAATAATTTAAAAAACACACACATACAAATTGAAGTCAAGAGATATAAAGTAGAAAAAGTTGATAGAATTAAAATAAAAGTCTCATTCCTATAGTTTAATTAAAATAAAAAAGAATATAGAGAATGTAAATTTTGCGTTTCTATCACAAATTTAATTTTGGAAATTTGTAATGTAATATTATATATATAATATAATACTTATTCTTACCGATGAAAGGCAGATACTTGTATAACGTGCCAATAATGGGCAAAGATCTCGGTCCTGGAATATCCTCGAAAGGTTTCGATTCATTTCTGTCAACATGACTCGAATTAGTCGAACAGGATCGAATGATGTGAAATTTCTTTATTGCCCCGCGTCCGAAATATTGTTTCACTCGCGTGTACATTATTATATTCTATTTGTTTATCAAATGTATATATTTTGCACGTGTACACATATACTTTAAAAAGTTTTATCACTAAATGTTACACTTTTTGAAGGAGAGCTATAAATGGCACTAGAGAGAAACAGGTTTCAGAATATGTTCAAGCTACCTGAGGTCTCGACCGGTCAATGATTTTCTACCTCTTGTTCTTTACTTCTCCGCCTTTCCTTCGCTTAATCTTTCGATCTTCTTATTCTGAATCGTTGGCATAAATTTGATGCTAGAAAGATAAAACCTGCATATCGTTTCTTAATATTGCTTTTAAGGATACATGAGCGCAAGCTGACGAATGTTACTGACTGCTAACGTTCGTGACTTTGGCGAAAGACGATCGTGACTTTGACGAGAGACTGACATAATATTAAATATTTACTAATATTATATATAGCTGTCCTCATATATAGATGTAAGATTCGAAATATCATTTGTTTTATTTTTGATAAAATATATGAATTAATATATTTTTATAGAATTCTATATATGATTTGCTTATTAAAAAAAACATTATAAATAAAAATAAATTGTTAAAAATTGTTGCAAAATTGTCATATGTGTGTATACTTTCCAATTTAATATAGACTCATTTTGTTAAAATAACAGTTTTTTCTAAAAAAAATATCGTAAAATAAAAGTTTATATATAATCAAAATATTTATATAGTAAAATTTTAAAAATGTAATTTAAAAACCAATAATAAAGATTTTTATTAAATATTTACAATAAATAATTTTTTAATTTAATGTTGCTTTTGAATATCTAGTTGCTTTTAAATTTTCTAGCAAATAAAAATTGAGAATATTTTATATATATTTTATCAGAATTATCGTGTAATTCTTCCTTTTTCTTTTCATTTTTAAGACTTAAAACATTAACAATTTTGTTATGTCTTGTAATCTACGGTAAATATAAATATACCGTTAAAACAATTTTGATTCAAACCAAGAAGAGCGCAGACACCTTTCTCCTGTACCGTTTAGTCCTCATTCTTGCTGTGTTCGCGAACGATAGACTGAATAACACAGTCTCTTATACATTATTTTAGAGTGAAGTTAACAGTCAAACACGAGGTTATTTGATAATAGCGTGTTTTTTTAAATTGAGTGAAGCACTGGTAAAGGTGCATAAAAAACATTACAAAAATGTGGCTATTTCGCCATAGTCAGTGCACTAGTAAAGTGCGTCTTGTAGGCAAGACAGTGGTTATAACAGGAGCGAATACTGGAATTGGCAAAGAAACTGCCAGAGATCTCTATAGAAGAGGTATTTTTAGTTATATATCTTTTACAATTTATCAAATAATATTTCAACGATTTATTAAATTAGAGAAAGTGAGGAAAAAGAGAGTGAGAGACAGCGCATCTCTCTATATGTTATGCGTTTATTATAACTGCTTGGCAAAACAATTTTAAATTTGTATGCTTAATTTTAAATAGTAATAGATTAATTTTTTCTGGTGTCTGTATCTATATTTATCTTAATAAATGCCAGATATTTTCGAAAAACATTTTTCAAAAAAAAGTGTATTAGTCAGATAACGATGACAGGTAATTAATTATATTTACAATTACATTAATATTAAAATTAAAGAGAGTTACTGATTTAGCACATAACTTACAATTAATATAATATGTCATATAATACATATAAGAAATATTATATAATAAAAAAAATAATTATATATTAATAAAGAGAGCACGAAGTTCTTCCTCTGAACCATTAATAGAATAATAAAATAATATAGAATAGTATAAAAATTAATTGAACTTTAAGTATATATTAGCTAATAATCTATATTCTCAAAATGGTTCATTATTTTAATGGCTTATATTTTAAATAACGTGTATACCACATAACATAACACACGTGTTTTGCGGTTAAAACATTGTTATAATAACAGAAGTTATATTAAAGTTAATAAAGGAACAAATGGCAATCGTAAAAATGTTAAAAAAAGATGAAGAATTTAATTTCTTTAGTCTTTATAAATATAACATATTTTTATAGGTGCAAGGGTAATTTTGGCCTGTCGAGATATACAAAAAGCAAACGATGCACTTGAAGATTTAAAAAAAAATCCACCTTCAAGGTAAGAGTAAATAAAAATATAATATATAATTTAAATATTAAAAATAATAAATATAATTTAATGTCTAATATTTTTATAATTATATTTATTACTAATTTTCATTATAATATAATTATATGGTTTTTTTATAAGTAAATTTATTTATAAATTATTTACAACTGACAATAATAAACTAGTGATGTTTATATAACATTGCACTAGTTTATATATGTTACATCATATATTATCAACATTTAATAGTCAGTTAGCAGTTACAGAAAGTAAAAAGTATGATAATCATTGTTTTATGAGACATTGCAATAATTTTCAGAGCAGATAGAAAACAATTTCAAGGTAATCCAGGTGAGCTTGTAATTTATCGATTGGATCTCTCTAGCCTAAAGAGCGTGAAAGAATGTGCTAAAAATTTATTAACAAATGAATCGGCTATTCATTTGTTAATAAATAACGCCGGCGTAATGATGTGTCCACAAGAAACAACCGAAGATGGATTCGAATTGCAGCTACAAACAAACTATATCGGTCACTTTCTTTTGACGCTTCTGCTGCTGCCAAAAATGCAGTCTTCCCTTCCTGTCTGTAGGATAGTGAATGTATCATCGCGTATTCACATTTGTACGTAAACTTAATTAGAGTCCCTAGAAGAACATGTAATAATAAAATAAGATGATCGATATACATAGATTAATATAATTATTATGGCTATTAATTTAATATTACAGTTGGTGCTATACATGATGACTTAAATTTGAAGGAATCATATACTCCTCTCAAAGCCTACATGCAAAGTAAATTGGCAAACATATTGTTTGCCAAGGAACTCGCTCGTCGATTAAAAGGTAAACAATAAGGATTATTTTAGATAAAAACTAAAATTATTTAAAAATATATTTTATCGCATTTTATAAAATAATATATATTAGCTTAAATATTAATTTATTTCATGAGCCAATTGTTTTTAATATATTGTACAGCATAATTTCTTTTTCTCTTTTCTTTCCTTTTTCTTTACTACAATGTTGAGTTCTAAAAAATATCAATTTTTGGGGAAAATTATTATAGGTATAATTAATAACTTAAAATAATTTTTTTCAGAAGCAAACATTAGCGGAATAAATGTATATTCTTTACACCCTGGTGCTATAACAACAGAGCTAGGTCGACATTTTAGTGAAACAGTATTTCCAGGTGCAAACACTGTTTTACGAGCGATATTGCGACCAATTTTAAAGAACCCTGAAGAAGGTGCACAAACGACTTTACATTGTGCGGTGGATGAAAAAGCAGCTAATGAGACTGGTCTTTATTATCAGTAAGAAAAAAATTATATAGAATGATTTCTATAATCATAATTTTATTGAAAGATGAGTTACACGTGTTTGTATAAATGTTCTTTGTATTTTTATTGTTACAAAAATTTTAATCATGTGTTATTTCTTAAATTTATATAATGTCTCTTTAAAAATAGCTATTTTATATACATTTCTCTATATTTACATTTATATACTATACATAACAATTTTTAACAATAATAATATATGTATATATATATATATATATATATATATATTTTGTATATTTTGAACAATATTTTTTTGCAGAGAATGCGGAGTTGCAACTCCACATTGGCGAGCACGAAATGATCAAATTGCTAAAGACTTGTGGGACGTAACTTGTCGGCTTTTACACTTGAAATCTGACGAAGATCTTGCCACATTTTTAAAAACCATTTCACGTCAAATTGCTGAATAATATAATATATGACTGAATTAATGATATGACTTATAAAATTTTAAAATTGTTATTGAAGTAATATCCAAATATAAAAGATATAAAAAATAAAATACAAATTACAAATTTAAAGTAATTGTTGCAAATATGTATACTATGAATAATATACATTTAAACATATTAATAATATATATTTAAACATATTATATATTGCATATTGCACGGATATATGAACTTTAATGGTTGGTATTTTAATCTATATATTTTCGCAAAATATTATTTTTCTTGAAAATCTCTCCTCCAATTTTAAAGTCGACCAGACTGGCAATAATTTATTTTAAATAGTTAGTTAAATTACAACGTTTCGGCTGTCATTGCAGCCCTTTTCAAGTAATCAGATTAATACAATTAATCATATTCACAGCAAACCCCCGACAAAATTAACAATTGTTTTGATGAACAATGCATAACTGACAGAAGTAAGCACGAAATAAATAGATGTTGATTGTTAGCAGGAAACTTAGTCACTGCAATAATTTATTTTAAATAGTTAGTTAAATTACAACGTTTCGGCTGTCATTGCAGCCCTTTTCAAGTAATCAGATTAATACAATTCAAAAAATATTCACAGCAAACCCCCGACAAAATTAACAATTGTTTTGATGAACAATGTATAACTGACAGAAGTAAGCACGAAATAAATAGATGTTGATTGTTAGCAGGAAGCACTTAGTCACTGATTTTCATTATTTATTACTGGCGACTCTTAAGGATTATCATTTGATTATTTTTCTTTCCTCATACGACATATTAATAAATATATTTATTAATTCTATGTTTAATTCTATGTACCCAGATAGCCACAGTAATTATTATGACATCATTTTGATCAAAATGATGTCATAATAATTACTGTGACTATCTGGGTATATATATCTTATATATTATATTCATTAAAGATATTAACATATATATTCTCATATATAATTATTAATATTTCAGTACAGATACTACATTTGCTCAAAATCTATAATTATTTATTAATTCATAAAACGAAGAAAAAAATTAAATTTTATAAACTTTTACCTTTGAATATAAGTCGCAACATCTTTAATTTAATGCATGACATGCAATAATGCATGACTGGTAATAGATTACAACTAAAGAAACAATTTTTTTTTATTCAATATAAATTGACATTAAAAAAAAAACTAATGTATATGCGTGACATGCGAATATTATCTGACAATAATACATGAGTAATGACAATGGAGAAAATAAATAACTTCTACTGTCAAATATAAATGTTGAAATCAATATAATCGTGACACATATGTATGTATAAAAAGTACTTTATATTAATGCATGGTGATAAAGAATCAAAAAGATAGAATATTTTTCTTTTAATTTTATAATTTATTGTATAATATTATATTTGTAGTGGAGAATCTAAACATTAATATTAAGATTCACGTTAAGATTTTCAACAGAATGAAATGATTGTAGCATACTAACTATATATCACACTTCTCCCTCTTCTTCCACATATATAGTTTTACTTCCGTTATTAATGCGCACTACATTGTGTTACATTCTTGCTGTGTTCAGTGCAACGCATAGCTCAGTAAGATAAAGAGAGCATTTTACACGCAAAATAGTGACATTGTAAAAAAATAAATGATGTGGACCTATAATAGAATGTGCACCAGTAAGGCGCGTCTTGATGGTAAAGTTGCAATAATAACAGGTGCAAATACCGGAATTGGTCAAGAGACTGCTAGAGATTTTTACAGAAGAGGTAAATATCGATTCGAATTTTTACATTATATAAGATATGCCATTAATCATTAATGTAATACAATTATAGAAAAGATGTTTTTTCGTAAAAATAAATATAAATTTGAAGGACAAGATTTATTTTGTATTTATTATATATTTCAAATCCTTAAAAAATTATTTGTTTTATTGTCAAGTATATCACTTCAATAAAGTTATAAATTTGTTATTAAATAATTTATTTTTATATACAAAACGCACACAATTAAATTCACAATTTTATATATATATGTTATAATATAAAAAAATATATATATAATAAATAAATATACTTGTCTAAGTAATTATATTATATTTTATTTATTTTATATATTGTAATAGTTATATAATATATACTTTCTAATTTATTTAGAGATTACTTTATATATATACATTTTTTTTTAATTTTACTTTTTTTAAATTTATTTTTCTAAATATTCTGATGGTGCGTCATACATATACGTGTACGGTTTCCAAAAAGCTTGGATATCCTCTTAATAACAGACCTTTTGGTTAATTCAAAATCGATTTTTCCTTAGCAAAAATGTCAATGAGATTTTCATAAATTAACATGTTTAAAATCTTGAAAAAATTTTAAACGAATATACATACACACGTAATATTTTTATTATAGATCATTTATATATAACATTATTTGTTATGTTATTTTAGTGGAACATCAACAATAAAAGCTATGAATAAATCATGTAATTATTTATAAATAATGAATAAATAATTATTTTCAGGCGCAAGAGTGATTTTGGCCTGTCGGAATATAGAGAAAGCAAAGGCCGCGATGGAAGATATAAAGAATAATCCATCTCCGAAGTAAGTATATATCCCTTATGAAAATTTATCACTATCAAGTCCAAATAATCACTTATTTCGAGTACTTAAATTACTAATATACAGTAAATAAGTGATTATTTGGACTTTTACTAGTGATAAATTTCCATAAGGAATAAAGCTGTATAGTTATTGTTATTGTTTAATGTAAATGCAATTTTAAAGAAAAAAGATACTAGCTTTTTTAATTATCGTAGATTGCTTGATTCATGGAAATTTAAATTACGATTATTATAAATAATTGAAATTAATTATTTATATCTTATAAAATTTAAGCAATAGAAAGATACACGGATGTTGCGTTATATTGATTTGCATATATTTGCTTACAAGATACCATCGTAATTATTACCTCAATTTCCTAGAATTGAATATATAAATCTAATTATAGAACATTATTAACGCGAATCATTATTAATAACGTAGATAATAGTGGGTATTTTTTTTATAAATTGTAGCTGGTTGTTGTTCACACGTACTATTACATATTTTTAAAATCCATACCTGATTATCATTGACGTATATAATTACGTCATTTTTTTTAATCTATAATTTCTGGTTATCGTTGACGTAATATTCTACGTCTCTTTCCCAGTGAGAAATGATGGTCGAAAAAAATTCGTCGAATCGATGTCGAATCGATGACAATAAAATATATTATATATTTATATATGTATATTATATATCATAATTTTTTTCGTTAATAAGAATCAAATTCTTTTGTTTAGCAATTCTCGATCTTATGTTTAGCAATAGCAATTTGTTTTTTTTTTACTTTTATATATCAACGTATATTTTATATACATTTATAAATAATTAAATGTCAAATATAAATTAAAATAAGATTCTTTAAAAATATATTAAAAATATAATATATAAACATTATATGCGAGTTTCAAGAATAAACCGTACATAGTAATTTTATGCTAAAGTTATATGTGTGCGTGCATCCATGCACGTGTTTGTTCGCGGTTTGTTCCTTATGTTATGACAATGTTTTAATCGTGAAAACAATGCATTGCTGTGGTGTATACGCCATTTAAAATGTATAGAAAATTAAATTAAGCAACTTTAACTTTTAGTATCAAAATAAATAATTGCAATACTATAAAAATATTCAGGTATAAAAATAAATAATTTCAATGGAATATTTGTTGTAATATTCCGTTATTATTGTATATTAATATTGAATAAATTTTTCTAGAGCTAAAATGTTTCTATCTTCTGAAATAGCAGTTGATTTTTTTAAATATTCAAAATATTGTTAATTTTGTTTATAACATGGAGAAAATAGTTTATATTAAAGCAGTTAAAAAGGAAAGACTCTTAGAAAAATCTATCTGATATTTAATTATAAACATATATGTAAATAGGGCCTTGAAATTTTTTTTTAAAACAAACGTAAATAGTTTATAATTAAATATATATAGTTTACAATTATTTTAAACACTATATATATAATTAATTACATAATACGTCTTTTTTAACATAGCAAACAATATAAGGGTAAGCTAGGCGAGCTCGAGATCTATTCATTGGATCTGAGTAACCTAAAGACCGTAAAAGAATGTGCTAAGAAGTTATTGACAGATGAATCGGCCATTCATATCTTAGTCAATAACGCTGGTGTAATGATGTGTCCTCATGAAAAAACTAAGGATGGGTTTGAGCTGCAATTGCAATCGAATCATCTAGGACATTTTCTCCTGACATTATTATTGCTGCCGAAAATACAGTCATCCGCTCCTGGTTGCAAAATAATCAACGTGTCATCAATTTGTCATCTCTGTACGTAAGAACAAAACAAAAAAAAACAAGATGTGAGAAATAAGAGAAAAAGTTATAATAGAAAAAAAAATTATTTTATTAAAATATATCTTTTATGACTTTTTTATCTTTCTATTTAAAATGTTTTTTTTTCTCAACTGTATGGTATATAATATTATATATATGTATTAATATATATAACCATAATAATATTATTTAATGTATAATTAGATAATAATTTTATACATACACACATATATATATATATATATATATATATATATATGTATATATGTATACATATATTTTAAACAATATCTATTATTATTTATTAGCGATATTGTTATTATCATTGCAGTTGGTAAAATACATTTTAACGATTTGAATTTGGATAGATCGTATAGTCCTATGAAGGCATATGCACAAAGTAAACTAGCAAACATACTTTTTACTAAGGAACTTGCACGTCGATTGAAAGGTAAAAGAAACGAAATAGCGATTATTTGTGTTTAAATTAAATTATTCAAAAATTATTAATACTTTTTCTTGTAAAAATATTTTAGTTATAATATCGTACACAGAAAACATATTTTTCTTATAGAAAAATTGCATATCTTAATTCTCATGAAAATAAAATTTGATTTCCAGAGGCAGGAATTAACGGAATAAACATATACTCCTTACATCCTGGCGTTATAAGAACTGAATTAAGCCGACATTATAGTAGAACGATAATTCCGGGCGCAAGGTTCTTTTATCGGAAAATTATGCGACCATTCATTAAAAATCCGGTGCAAGGAGCGCAAACAACGATACATTGTGCGGTGGATGAAAAAGTAGCTAATGAGACCGGGCTTTATTATGTGTAAGAGAAAACTGTATAAATAGTTTTTGCAAATTATAACAATACTCAAACGTGATAAATTTATTTTGATTTTTCTTTCTTTTCCTTGAAATATTTTTTAACAAATTTATATATGGTATTATTATTTATAATCTTTTGTTTTTAATAATAATAAATAATTTTATAATCGCTAGTCAATTAATAAATCAGGGTATATTTATTTTTCGACCAATACTAGCTATAATTATTTTATTTATTACTTTTGTTTTTAATAGAGAGTGTCGTGTAAGCAGACCACAATGGAGGGCGAGAGATGATCAAATAGCTAAGGACCTATGGAATCACACTTGCCAGCTTTTGCACTTGGAACCTGATGAAAATCTTTCCACATTTTTGCAAACTGTTTCACGTCAACTTGCCGAATAATATTTATTTTTACGGAATGGATTTATAGTAAAATAATGATTATAATATTTCTTGCCTTTAATAAATTTTTATATTTACAATACATCATAAAAAGATATGATATATGCGATGTCACACAAAAATACAAACAGCATATATTTATATACGAATTAACTTGTATGAACAAAGGTACACAAATATTCTCAATGTTCTGATAAGAAGTATGTAACACTCTGCGCACACATGTAACATAACATTTAATATACTAAATCTTTAAAATATTATGCTATTGTTACTAATATCAAAAACAATAATTTTTACATAAATATTTTTAAAAGTGTTTTAAGTAATGTTAATATAATTACAATATAAATATATAATAAATAATTATCCATTAGGCTTCGAAGAAATTTTATTGTTTTTAGAAAATAGAAAATTATTTTAAGAAAATATTACATTCGAAAACGTTTACGTTACATATTTTGTTTTTTTTTCTAATTAAGGTAGATAAATAAATTATTTTACATAGCAATTTTTATAGAGAGATATTCTATGTATTTATACATATAAATTTTTAGCATATTTTTTTATAGATGCAAGAATAATTTTAGCCTGTCGAACGTACAAAAAGCCAACGATGCTCTTCAAGATATTAAAACAAGTTTTCTCTCGAAGTAAGAATAAATAAAGATATAGTTTTATATATTTTTATTAAAACATAGACAGATTGTATTTAATATGATTATAAGTATTTATAACTTTTTTTTAAATTAGATATAATGTTTTGTAACAAACCGTTGACATACTATTATATTATATTATAAAAATTATTGAATTGTATTTCTCAAATTTGTATTAGTATTCTACTATCAGTTTACTATACTAACAATAATTTGCTATTAGAATTAAAGATAACAAAACTGAGTTTATTTATGAGTCGACACAATTACTTTTACTTGTAACTTCCTACTGTATTAACAAATCTGCTTATAAATACTAAATTTATGTAGCATACTAACAATAATTTGCTATTAGAATTAAAGATAACAAAACTGAGTTTATTTATGAGTCGACACAATTACTTTTACTTGTAACTTCCTACTGTATTAACAAATCTGCTTATAAATACTAAATTTATGTAGCATATATCATTTCGTTTAATCTAACCGAATATAATTACGCACACAAAGCGAAGTTATATTATTCTTTGATAATAAAATCCCAAAAATTGCGACGCATGCAAAAATTATTATTGCAATCAATGCATAAAAATATATTAATTAATTATGCAACGTATAAAAATTCAATATTTAAATCTTTTACAGAAAATAAGAACAAAGAAATAAAATTTTCTACAAGAATTTTTTGTAATTAAATATCTACGCTTTCATTAGACTTGTGCAAGACTTTACACCCCATACATCTATTACGCTGCGCGGCTTGCGCGAGACTGATTCTCGTGTGGAGTATCGCAAGCGCGAGCCCGATGGTCACATGACCAGTAGTCACGTGACTAGTGGTCACGTGACGAGTGATCATGTGACCACTGGTCACGTGACCATCGGGCCCGCGCTTGCGATACCCCGCACAAGAATCAGTCTCGCGCGAACCGCGCAGCGTGATAGATATATGGGGTGTAGAGTCTCGCATGCGGAATTGACTTTTTTTCGTACATCTTTCTCTAATCCTTTTTCCAGTCTTGCTTGCGCTTATCTTATTTCTATTCCCATATATGGTACGCTCGATTCCTCGATACGTAAATAAAAACTGAAACTGAAGATGCCGACACTTTTTCTTACCATTTTTGATTCTTTAGGTGCCGCACATCACACATCGAAGTGTGAAATCATTTAGCTATTACATGCTGAGCTGTCATCGAGTTTTTTATCGCGAAAATTTATCGCTTCTAAATTTAGTTACTCGTAAATTCCTTTGATACGTTTACCTACACCTATACACGCGAATATGGCCTCGGTGTAGTTTTTGTTCATTGACATTTCGGATTTTCTATTCGCTTCCTTTTCTTTTCCTCTTCTTGTTTCCTTTTCACTTTATCTCTTTTTTTTTATTCTTTAAACGGCATGCTCGAGTCTCGTTGAAGTCGGTATGTCTAGTTATAATAAAAAAGAAATGTTATTTTATTAAAACCTAATATCTTTTAATTTAAAAAACTTTTTTTCTCAACTATATAATATATTACATGTATTAATATATAAACATAATAATAATAATTTACAAAAATAATAATTATTATTTAATATATAACTAGATAATAATTTTATATGTAAGGAGTATCTATACATTTATTCTGCTAATTCCCACCTCTGGAAATCAGAGTACTCCTTACATTTTGGCATTATAAAAACCGAATTAGTTCAGCAACATAATAGAACAATAATTCTGGGCGCAAGGTTTTTTTATCGGAATATTGTGCAACCATTCATTAAAATTCGGTGCAAGGAGCGCAAATAACGATACATTGTGCGGTGGATGAAAAAGTAGCTAATGAGACTGAGTGAGCTTTATTATGTGTAAAAGAAACGTGTATAAATAGTTTTTGTGAATTATAACATACTCAAACGTGATAAATTTATTTTTATTTTTTCTTTCTTTTCCTTGAAATATTTTGTAACAAATTATATATGGTATTATTATTTAGACCACAATATGGAGGGCGAGAAATGATCAAATAGCTAAAGTTCTATGGAATCACACTTGCCAGATTTTGCACTTGAAACCCGATGAAAATCTTTCCACATTGCAAACTGTTTCACGTCTTGCTGAATAATATTTATTTCTGTGGAATGAATTTATAGTAGAATAATAAAATTATAATGTTTCTTGCCTTTAATAAATAAGGTACATAATAAAAAGATGTGATATTTATGCGATATCACACAAAAATGCAAACAGCATATATTTTGTATATACGAATTAACTTGCATGAACAAAGATACACATATTCTCAATGTTCTGATAAGAAGTTTGTAACACTCTGCGCACACATATAACATTTAATATACTAAATCTTTAAAATATTATGCTCTTGTTACTAATATAAAAAAACAATAATTTTTATATAAATAATAAAAGACTGTTTTAAGTAATGTTAATATAATCACAATATAAATATCTAATAAATAATTATCTTTCAGGCTTTGAAAACATTTTATTGTTTTAAATAAAATAATTTTTTGTTCGATGATATAAAATATTTAAGAAACTCGTGACATAATGTAACGTAAAAGGCAATAAAATGCATTATATTCGTACTATCGAGTGGTTGTCATCGCGACTATGTAAACAGTTTGATAATTGATAATAAAAATAGAGGACATATATTTATATTATTTTTTAAAAAATTACTTTATTTTTAATATAAATTTGGACAATAGTGTATGCGTAGTGCACGCTTATGTTGTTCTAATGTGATAAATTGTGCGTGTTGTTTTTTATTGATCCAACACAGTATTAAAGGTGTATCCATACAAACTTGAAAAGGTGCATAAGCATATGCATAAGAAATGTGATTGGTCTACTGTCTTATGCACATGTTTATGAACCAATCAATTTTCTTATGCTTAATGCCATGCGCTATGCAAGTTGTGTGCGAGTATAATTTTATGTCGACTGCTGCCGGCTGATGGCGTTATAGATATATTTCAATGAGTTTGTTCTTTGTTGCTGCACTGGTGAACTGATGCAATAAATTAAAGTGAGACAAGTATATTTTGTTTCACTTTAACTTACTGCACCAGTGTGCACTAGTTCACTCGCGCAGCAATAAAGAACAAACCTTATAATTATAGAGTTATGATCTAGAAAGAATCTAGTTTGTTCCTAGACCAATTCTAATTTCCATGCACATATGTATACACTAAATTCCTTTCTTTACTCATTCTTATTGATTCAATCTTCTGTTGTATTTGCGTGTGAAACCTTACGACTCGCTATAATAAAATTTGCTATTTAGAACATCATCAATTATTTTAGAAAGGACCTAGTATAAGCTTATTAAGTTTGTAGTAACAAAAATTAATGTTTACATTTTTAAGGAGTGATAAAAAATATTGAAGTTATATTAAAAAATATAAAAATGTGGTCGTTTCATAGTGAATGTACCAGTGAAGTACGTCTTGTAGGCAAAACAGTAGTTATAACAGGAGCGAATACTGGAATCGGCAAGGAAACTGCCAGAGATCTCTACAGAAGAGGTATTTTTAAAATTATATCTCTTACAAATCAAATTATATAACTGAAATATACAGTCTCTTAAAACAACTTGTTCAATTGAAAGAGAGAAGGAGAGAATTTGTGTGTGTGTGTGTGTGTGTGTGTGTGTGTGTGTGTGTGTGTGTGTGTAATATCTATATATAATTATTTATATATAGATATTACAATTTTGAGATTGTTCCTTGTCGTGGCGAATTGCTAAGTATTATATTTGGCTCTTCACAGCTATACATTCTCTATTCTTGTTATTTATGATAAAAGCGTTCTAGCCATATTATTGATCATTATTTATCTTTATACATACCCAGCCATAAATGATATCGAATCGACGACGAAGTGACATCGATTTATCGTTGAATCAACATCGATTAAATAAATCGATGCCGAATTGACATCGATTCGACGTCAATTTGATCATTCATTTCTGGCTGAGTAGTTTATCTATATACATATAATTATTTTTCTATATAATAATTTATATAATTTAAAGGGATAAGTAATTTTTATGACCGATACTGGCTAATAAATATTTCATAATCATCACAACGTTTTGATCATGGGTTTTGGTCCTTATCAAGTGTACTACAATAAAGTAATTACAATAAATTCATAGTAATGCGTAAAAATATATGTGAATACAAAACGTTAAACGTTACCTTAAAATTAAAAACCGTATACATATTATGCGAACAAAACTTCTTGTCATATGAAACGTTGTAGTAATTATTAAATATTTATTAGTCGCAGTATTGGTCGTAAATTATTCTTTTAATTATTGACTGGCAACATCAAGAATTCGATTATTTATATAATTTATTCATATAATTATTTCAAAGAACAAAAATATATAATAAATTTTGATGTGTATTTATTTATTGATATAGTGCTGCACTCTATTTTGTAATTAATTATAATTAATTATAATAAATTATAATTAGCAAGTCCAATTATATTTATATATAATATAACTTTTTTCTAAGATCAATAAATAAATAATTTTACATAGTAATTATTATAAAGATATTTAATGTATTTATATGTATAAATTAACTTTTAGTATATTTTTTTATAGGTGCAAGAATAATTTTGGCTTGTCGAAATATACAAAAAGCCAACGATGCCCTTAAAGATATTAAAACAAATTTCCCCTCGAAGTAAGAATAAATATAGATATAGTTTTATATATTTTTATTAAAACATGGACAGATTGTATTTAAAATGATTATATAAGTATTCATAACTTTTTAATTCCTGGGAAAAAATTTTTATATATATTTTCCAAAATTATGTACAATTATACAGAACTATACATAAATATGCAGAAATATGTATAATTATAAATGGCAAAATATGATATTATATATATTTATATATAATTATATTTAACTCTTTTGTCATGTATAAATATGCATATTGATAAAATATAATATTTTGTAATGATATATGTGTATGTAGTTATTATTAATTAGCAATTAGTAATTGAAAGTTAATAGTTATTAAATAACATTAATAGAATACATTATATTGATATCTATTCCTACATGATTAAGAAAATTTTTATATTTTCTGTGCAATTTGTGCGCAATTTATACATATATATATGTAACGTAATGCGCACAAAATTGCACAGAAAATATAAAAATTGTCTATATATATTATTTGTATTCATGCTTGTCAACATAATTGTAAATAAATTGAAGTTATTAAAGAAATTTATTGAGCAACTATGTAATGGATGTACTCGTATATACCAAGTAAATTACGTTTTTCCATTTTATTACGTAACTAAAATATATCTTTTGTCGTATCATTTATCTTAATCGCTAGAATAATTATTACTGTGTTTAAAAAAAAATAATTATGATAATTGGTGTTTACGAGATATTGTAATAATTTCCAGAAAAGATAGAAAACAATTTCAAGGTAATCCAGGTGACCTTGTAATTTATCGATTGGATCTCTCTAGCCTGAAGAGCGTGAAAGAATGTGCTAAAAATTTATTAACAAATGAATCGGCTATTCATCTGTTAATAAATAACGCCGGCGTGATGATGTGTCCACAAGAAACAACTGAAGATGGATTCGAATTGCAGCTACAAACAAACTATATCGGTCACTTTCTTTTGACGCTTCTGCTGCTGCCAAAAATGCAGTCTTCTGGACCTGGTTGTAGAATATTAAATGTATCATCATTAATTCACAATTGTACGTAAACTTAATTAGGATTTCTAGAAGAATATTTAATAATAAAATAAGATCAATATACTAAGGTTATTAATATAATTATTATGGCTATTAATTTAATATTATAGATGGTGCTATACATGATGACTTAAATTTGAAGAAATCATACACTCCTTTCAAGGCCTATGCGCAAAGTAAACTGGCGAATATATTATTCACGAAAGAACTTGCACGTCGGCTAAAAGGTTAATAATAACAATTATCAGAAGAAAAAGAATTTTATTATTTATCTAATCGCTAAAAACTTGTTATAACTTGTTAAAATTTATAATAAATTATAAAAAATGCTAATTTAGATATTAATTTTTAACTCTCTCTTCATAAAAATGTTAATTTACACACATGATAAAAAACAGAAAGATAGAAAATATTTTTTAGAAAGAGATTATCGGAGGATTAAATTAGATAAATAGATAAATAATTAAATAAATAATTAACTAAAAATTAAATAATTAAATAGAATTTTTTTATTTTAGGAGCAAACATTAATGGAATAAATGTATATTCTTTGCACCCTGGCGTTATAACGACAGAATTAGGTCGTCATTTCAGTACAACAATATTTCCAGGTGCAAGTACTTTTTTTCGACTGCTGATGCAACCAGTTTTTAAAAATTCTGAACAGGGTGCACAAACGACGATATATTGTTCGGTAGATGAAAAAGCAGCAGATGAGACGGGTCTCTATTACAAGTAAAGAACAAATTAAACTATGGAAAATTATTTTTATCAAATATAATCAATAAGTATAAAAAGTAATTCAAATAATTTCAAGACTAATATGATATAATTGATGACAATTTAATTAAAAGATGAATAATTTTATATATATATATAATGTGTGTTTATATATGCTCTTTGTATTTTTAGTAAAAAGAATATCTATAATATGTTTTGTTTAAACAATGCCTCTTTAAAATCTTAATTTTACATATACAATATTTTTTTAGATTTAATATTTATATTATGAGTAATAATTGTCCACAATATGTATTATACATTAAATGTTTTTATATGTTCTTTTCTATTCAATTTTTTAATATTATTTCAAACAATATTTTGTTAGAGAATGCAGAGTTGCGATTCCACAATGGCGAGCGCAGAACGATCAAATTGCCAAAGACTTATGGAACCAAACCTGTCGACTTCTACATTTGGAATGTGATGAAAATTTTGCCAAATTTTTGAAAACTGTTTCCTGTCAAATTACTGAATGATATATACATGCTGAATTAATGATAAATTTTTAATCCAACTAACGAGCTGTAAATTATATAAACTTTGTAATTTCGTATACATTAGATCTGTTTGTTTTGGTTACACTAACTACTCGATATTGGAAGAAAAAAGATAATCTCTGAACTAGTGTAGCCAGTGTAGCCAAAACGAACAGAGTTATTATAAACAATAACGCAAAAGGAAAAGCATATTTACTATAATTAATAAATTAATTTGTTATAATATAATTAATCTTTTATAATTCTATTTTTGAGAATTGCTTTTGATTATTTACTGTAGCTTATTAAAAAACAAAATTAAAAAAAAATATAATTAAATAGAATAAAAAAAAGAAATAAAATTGATTTATGATTTTAGAAAAATATAAAACAGAACAATATAAATTTTTCAAATAATTTTTAACGACCTAACTGGCATAAAAAATATCTTTATTGTTGGTTAGACATCAAATAAAATTAAGGACGACGTTTTGACCCTTGTTTTAGGTCCTTCTGATTTGATATACTTCCAACACGAATCCATTATGAATTTAAAAATAAAAGTCGTCTTTCAATGTTACAGCGTAAATCGAAAATTTGAATATTTTTATAAACGAATGCGACTTAGATTACTGAATTTAGAATATATATTTGAAAGTATCGCTTATATCTAATGCTCACTTGTCACTTGTTCTTGCAATATTTATAAGTAAATTTCAGCTTCAACCAAGAATATTTTGCACTTTGTTTTAAGGATAAATTATCCTTTATCCAAAATTATTGATATTTGGCGCTATTATAAGGATAAAATATACTTGAATCAAGGCATATTTGCATTCTTTCAAAGATACTGTTTTTTCTGTGTATATATAAACATCTTAGTACTACTAATGGTAATCTACCGAGGGGATATTGTATACCGAAAATTTATAAGATTAAAGTTCCGTTAAGAATTATAGTTTCGTCACTCAGTAGTTCTACGTATAATGTGGCTCTATTTTTACACGACATATTAGAAAGATCAGTTGAGAAACCCGTCTTCTGCATTAAAGACGGATGGAGTTTTGCCAATAAAATTAAGAATTGCAAGATTGATGATAATGAAGTACTGATTTTACTTGATGTTACATCTCTATTCACAAACATTCCTAAAGAACTAGTATTTTTTTGTTTGTAATTTTTAGACTTGAGAAGGACTCCAAACAAGGGTCGAAACGTCCTCCTTAATTTTATTTGATGTCTAACCAACAATAAAGATATTTTTTTTATGCCAGTTGGGTCGTTAAAAATTATTTGATTTATTTTATTAATTACTGGCGGAAAAAAGGAATTACTACTTAATATGAATTTTATTATATATAATCTAGCTTTTCATAATAAAAAAGTTTCTTGAACCAAGCGGTTTTAATTTTTATATCATATAGTTTCATTATATAACTGACTGGTTTTATTGAAATAAAGAAAGTTACACACACATACATATCTATATATATAAGCACCGTCTGTCTGTATGTATGTACGCGAACTACTTCCGCATTTGTGGACCGATATTCGTGAAACTGGTACCAAAATGTTGCAAATTTTTTGGGGGTGGCTGCTGTGGGGTTTTTTTTTAATTTTTTAATTTTTTTTTTTTTTCTACAGAGGAGGGTATGTTTAATCTTTTTTTGCAATATTTCTGAACACATGGTATCAAAATGTTGCAAATTTTTTTGGAGATAACGACGATGCGGTTTTTTTAAGTGTTACACCCCCACCCACGCACCCACCCACGCATCCACCCACGCGCATGCGCATTTATGGACCAATTTTCACGAAATTAGTACCAAAATGTTGCAAATTTTTTTGAGAAAACTACTGGTTTATTTTTTTAAGTTTACCCCTCCACCCACGCACCCACCCACGCAATCGTATATTTATGAACCGATTTTTTTTAAATTGGTACCTCTTCCGGCTCTTGCCCATCGAGCTTTCTGTTTTACTGCAAAAAATGATTATATTACATAATATTTATTTATAATATTATATTATTATATATAATATTGAGGAGGGAGAGGAGAGAGAGAGAGAGAGAGAGAGAGAGAGAGAGAGAGAGAAAGAGAGAGAGGGATTAATTTAATCTATATATATAAGCACCGTCCGTCTGTCTGTCTGTCTGTCTGTGCCCGAACTACTTCCGCATTTGTGGACCGATTGTCTCGAAATTGGTACCAAAATGTTGCAAATTTTTCGGGGGTGGCTGCTGTGGGTTTTTTTTTTAATTTTTTTATTTTTATTTTTTTTCTTCAGAGGAGGGTATGTTTTTGCGAAAAAATTTTTTTTTTGCAATATTTCTGAACACATGGTATCAAAATGTTGCAAAATTTTTGGAGATAGCGACGATGCGGTTTTTTTAAGTGTAACACCTCCACCCACGCATCCACCCACGCATCCACCCACACGCATGCGCATTTATGGACCAATTTTCACGAAATTAGTACCAAAATGTTGCAAATTTTTCTGAGGAAACTGGTGTTTTATTTTTTTAAGTTTACGCCTCCACCCACGCAATCATCCACGCGCGTGCGCATTTATGGACCAATATTTTTACGAAATTGGTACAAAAATGTTGCAAATTTTTTGGAGATGGCGACGATGCGGTTTTTTCAAGTGTTACACCTCCACCCACGCACCCACCCACGCGCATGCGCATTTATGACCAATTTTCACGAAATTAGTACCAAAATGTTGCAAATTTTTCTGACAAAGCTGGTGTTTTATTTTTTTAAGTTTACGCCTCCACCCACGCACCCACCCACGCAATCGTATATTTATAAACCGATTTTTTTAAAATTGGTACCAAAATGTTGCAAATTTTTTGAAGATGGCGACGATGTGGTTTTTTCAATTGTTACACCTCCACCCACGCATTCATCCACGCGCGTGCGCATTTATGGACCAATATTTTTACGAAATTGGTACAAAAATGTTGCAAATTTTTTTGAGAAAGCTGCTGTGTGGTTTTTTAAAGTTTTATCCCACCCACGCATTCACCCACGCATTCACACATTTATTCACAGACTTTTTCGAAATTTGTACTCAAATTTTGTTGGGGATGGCTACTATGATTTTAACAAATTTTTATCATCCTATTCATCCACCCACGCACCCATGCACCCATGTGCATACGCATTTATTGACTTGGTCACACCAATAAGTAATTTTAAATAAATTTGTGTACATGTTTGTGATTGCAAAAATTTGCAACATTTTGGTACTAATTTCGTGAAAATTGCATACAAATTAAAGGTTTATTTACACGAATTGCACACATAATCACAAATACGTACACAAATTTTTTAAAAATTACTTCTTGGTGTGACCAAGTCAATAAATGCGTATGCAAATGGGTGCATGGGTGCGTGGGTGGATGAATAGGATGATAAAAATTTGTTAAAATCATAGTAGCCATCTCCAACAAAATTTAACTACAAATTTCAAAAAAGTATGTGAATAAATGTGTGAATGCGTGGATGCATGCGTGGGTGGGATAAAACTTAAAAAAACCACACAGCAGCTTTCTCAGAAAAATTTGCAACATTTTGGTACTAATTTCGTGAAAATTGGTCCATAAATGCGCATGCGTGTGGGTGGAGGTGTAACACTTGAAAAAACCACATCGTCGCCAAAAATTTGCAACATTTTGGTACCAATTTTTTAAAAAATCCGTTCATAAATATGCGATTGTGTGGGTGGATGCGTAGGTGAAAGCGTAAACTTAAAAAACCCCACACACATACACACAGAGAGAGAGAGAGAGAGAGAGAGAGAGAGAGAGAGAGAGAGAGAGAGAGAGAGCGTGTGTCTTAAAGAAAGAGGGAGGGAGAGAGATAAGGAGAGAGAGAGCATGTGTCTTAAAGAGAGAGAGAGGGAGCGCGTGTGTTTTAGAGTGAGAGAGAGAGAAAGCGTGTCTTAAAAAAAGAAAATAAAATATCTGGGAGAAAAAAATAGATAACATAGTAGTCATCCACAAAAAAATTTAAACATTTATTTTGGTATAAATTTCGTGAAAGTCGAACAACAAATGTGGAAGTAGTTCGCGGTAATACAAAAAAAGAATTAATTTTTTGTGTTAAAACGGATTTAATATAGACTATATGAGGACCGCGCGAAGCGCGGTCCGAAAAGCTAGTATATACATATTTGAGAATAAGGACAGAGAAAATTTGTTGACGTGAATAAACGAGTTTAAAGAGAAAATTTGAGTAAGAATATAGTATAATAATATTGTTACTTAACATAATCACTGTGAAAATATTATAAAATGTGTGTGTACTTATATATTAAAATATATATCGTTCAGATATATATGCTTAATTGATATTTTTGTCTGTATGGTTTTGCAAAAAATCATTTTTTTGTATATAACATATAAATTAGTTTTTATATGCAATATTTTTTATAATGTAAAAAATATTTAATAGTATAAATTGTTAAAATATATCGAAAACTTCCATTAAAATTAAAATTGTTTTTTATTAATAGATATATGATCAAGTTTACCTGTGTATTTCATATTTGCAGCGTTGATACTTAATTCTATATTTTGCAATTATCTGTTAATAAACGAAAAAAGGATTATATTTTACAAACGTTTTCTACCAAGTGTAAGTTGTGGCACATAAAAAACCAACTTTTATTAATATAGGATTACATATTATAACTAAAAAAAATAACATTTTTACTTCTAATTTTATATATTTTATATTTATATTTATAATTTATAATTATCTGCTTTTATATTATAATTATATAAATATAATTTTATATTTTCTGTATTTAAAATATATTTTTTGCGTTGAGATTCTGAACATCTATATAATAATTATCGTAAATATTTGTGCAATTTATTTAATTTGTTATATAGCTCTATCACACACATACACACATTTTGTTTCTTTTTATTTCTCCCACTTTTACGAAACGCATGCGTGCATTCAGCTCTATCATTACGTGCTCCTTCTCCTTTCATCTTTCCCACTTTTTCATTTAAACATGCTTGTAATGCAGTGTTTCACTATTACTTTCATATTGTCAGAGTTATTTCAGCTCCAAGCTTTAAGATACAAAGAGCGCGTAATAGTGAGATTGTAAGAAAAGAAATTATGTGGACTTATCATAAATTGTGCAGCAGCACAGCACGTTTGGATAATAAAATTGCAGTGATAACAGGTGCAAATACCGGAATTGGCAAGGAAACTGCCAGAGATTTTTACAGAAGAGGTAAATATCGATTTCTAATTTTTATATTTTATCTGTAGGTTATATATGTAGCCCGATACAATTATAATTTCTCACATAGAGATAA